ACACCACTGCACTTCAGCCTGGGCAACAGAGACGCTGTCTCTAAAAAAAAAAAACCTAGTCCACAAAGAGTTACTAATACAAGTATTAGATAATCTCCAGCTTCCTGAGGAAATAGCTATTGTTCATGTCCCAGGACACCAAAAAAACCCTCTCCTTTGAAAGTCGGGGAAATAGCGGCCGGGCGCGGTGGCTCAAGCCTGTAATCCCAGCACTTTGGGAGGCCGAGACGGGCGGATCACGAGGTCAGGAGATCGAGACCATCCTGGCTAATATGGTGAAACCCCGTCTCTACTAAAAATACAAAAAACTAGCCGGGCGAGGTGGCGGGCGCCTGTAGTCCCAGCTACTCGGGAGGCTGAGGCAGGAGAATGGCGTAAACCCGGGAGGCGGAGCTTGCAGTGAGCTGAGATCCGGCCACTGCACTCCAGCCTGGGCGACAAAGCGAGACTCCGTCTCAAAAAAAAAAAAAAAAAAAAAAAAGAAAGTCGGGGAAATAATCTAGGCAACCAAATAGCCAAACAGGCTGCCTCTTCCCAAGCTACACCCATTTTTCATTTACCCCCTCATCTTCTCCCATGCAGACCAGGAAAAACTAAAGAAATTAGGAGCTGAGGAAAATTCAGAAGGAAAATGGGTATTACCAGATGGAAGAGAAATGTTATCCAAGCCTCTTATGAGGAAAATACTGTCACTTCATCAAGGATCTCATTGGGGTCCTCGAGCTATGTGTGATGCAGTCCTTACAGTCTATGAATGCATAGGAATATATACCCTCACTAAGCAAGCAGTGGATGGTTGCATAGTGTGCAGAAAGACTAATAAGCAAACCCTAAAGAGGCAACCTCCAGGAGGAAGGAACCCATGGTTAAGGCCATTCCGAAGTGCCCAGGTTGACTATACTGAAATGCCCCCAATAGGCCACCTCCAGTATTTGCTAGTAATAGTAAACTACCTTACCCACTGGGTAGATGCCATCCCCTTCCCAAGCGCAACAGCCAGTAATGTGGTCAAAGCCCTGTTAGAACACGTCACACCCAGGTTTGGACTAACAGAAAACACTGATTCAGACAATGGGACCCACTTCACTGCACACATCATTAAAGGACGAACCCAGGCATTAGAAACAAAATGGGAATATCATATTCTTTGGCATCTGTCCTCATCAGGGTAAGTAGAAAGAATGAGTCAAACTTTAAAAAATCACCTAATCAAGTAAATCCTAGAAACTCGGTTACCATGAACAAAATGTCTTCCCATTGCCTTACTCAAAATCCAGATTGCCCCTTGAAAGGACCTTGGCCTGTCCCCTTATGAAACGCTCTGTGGGTTGCCTTACCTAAATTCCACTACTGGCCTTTCTACATTTGAAACGAAAAATCAGTTTCTCAAAAACTTTGTATTTGGTTTGTCTTCCACCCTTTCCTCCCTCAGGATTCAAGGCTTCCTAGTGCAAACATCACCCCTCAAATTCCCAGTCCACCAACATCAACCCGGAGATCATGTCCTTGTCAAAATCTGGAAAGAGGGAAAGCTGGAGCCCACCTGAGAAGCAGCTTACCTGGTGCTCCTAACAACTGACACAGCAGTCTGAACTGCTGAAAAGGGGTAGATCCACTGTACCCAAGTCAGAAAGTCGCTGCCCTCTCTGAAGCCATGGACCATCGTCCCAGGGCCAACTCCCACCAGAGTAACATTAAAGAGAAAAGCCTAATCTCTTTTTCCTCTTCTCTTTCCCTTAGCTACCTCTCATCTTATTATTAATGTAACTAGGTCAAGCTCACCCCAAACCCAAAGCATTACTTTCAATGCTTGTCTTGCCATGCCCTGCGGGGATCTCCAAAGTCAGAGACAGCTAGCCTCCTAGAAAAGCTCTGCCCATCCACCCCTTCCAAACCCAGCACCACCTATTAACCGTTGCAATCAACAACCATGAGACTTCCAGGGGTTTTGATATAGTTGGGAGATGTTATCTGGACTACCAAATATCAGGGCTGGACCTCCTCAGAAGGCTGCACCACCCTAAAACCCTACCTCCACTTCACCAAAGGAACCACCCCCTCAAATTGCCAAATCCACCAGTGCAACCCAGTACTTCTATTCTTATCCCCACCTCCACTGACCCTAACCCCACTTGTCTTTATGGCCTAGGAGTGGATGTCACTGGAAAAGACCACATAGGCTCCTTTAAAATATATTTTGTTGGCTGGGCGCAGTGGCTCACACCTACAATCCCAGCACTTTGGGAGGCCGAGGCAGGTGGATCACAAGGTCAAGAGATTGAGACCATCCTGGCCACCATGGTGAAACCCCATCTCTATTAAAAACAAAAATTAGCTGGGCATGGTGGCACATGCCTGTAGTCCCAGCTACTTGGGAGGCTGAGGCAGGAGAATTGCTTGAACCTGGGAGGCCGAGGTTACAGTGAGCCGAGATCGTGCCACTGCACTCCAGCCTGGCGACAGAGACTCTGCCTCAAACAAACAACAAGAAAACAAAAACAAAAAAAAGTTTTAACCCTCCTCCATCTCCTACCAACTCGCCTCCCCCACGCCCACCAAATCAAACCATTTTTTGTTTCTTACCTAATAATAAGAAAATAGCCATAGTAGAAGTCAAGGACCTAAAGCAAACTTAGCCATAGAAACCAGGTATCAAGATGTTAATGCCTGGCCAAAATGGATTAAATATTCTGTTCACACCCTAAATAAAAGCGATTGGTCCACTTGTGCAACAGGCAGGCCAGAAACCCAAATTGTTCCCTTTCCACTTGGATGGACCTCCAACCAACAGGGCATGAGCTGTATGGTAGCTCTCTTCCAAAACCCCACAGCCTGGGGCGATAAGGCATGCTAAACTCTCACTGCTATTCTTGAAGTTAAAGGCCCTGTAGGTCAGCTCCAGTTAACAACGTACATTTTACCTCATGTCTCTCACGACGGGGAAAATTTGGCATTCCTTGGAAGCCTAATGGGATGCAGTGAGTCCAAGCCTTTTCAGGAGCTAACCAATTAGTCTGCCCTTGTTCATCCCCGGGAGGATGTATGGTGGTATTATGGTGGGCCACTACTGGGTACTCTGCCAAGTAACTGGAGGGACACTCATGCTCTAATCCCATTGGCCATCCCTTTCGCCCTGGCGTTTCACCAACCAAACAAAAAGAACAATTGAAGAGCAGAAGTGCCCCTTAAGGGTCCTTTGACCCTCACATTTATATAGATGCCATTGGAGTTCCATGAGGGCTACCAAATGAGTTTAAAGCCCAAAATCAAATAGCTGCAGTATTTGAATCTATATTGTTCTCATGGGTAACTGCAAACAAAAATGTAGACTGGATAAATTACATTAACTATAAGCAACAATGGTTTGTTAATTATACTAGGGATGCCATTAAAGGAATAGCTGAACAATTAGGCCCTACCAGCCAAATGGCCTGGGAAATTGAATAGCCCTGGACATGATATTAGCTGAGAAGGTTGGGGTCTGTATCATGATTGCAGTCTAATGCTGTACTTTTATCTGCAAAAATATAGCCCCCAATGGAACAATTACAAAAGCCCTATAAAAGGCCTTACCACCCTAGCAAACGAATTGGCCAAAAATTCTGGAGTAAATGACCCCTTCTCTAACCTCATGGAAAAATGGTTTGGAAAATGGAAGGGACTCATAACCTCAATCTTTACCCCCCTTGCAATTGTTATAGGTATACTTATTCTTGTAGGTTGCTGCATTATACCCTGTATTTGTGGATTAGTGCAAAGACTCATAGAAAACGCTCTCCCAAAACCCCTCTTTCTTCTCCCCCACCCTACTCAGATAAGCTCCTATTCCTAAGTGAACAAGAGGAACAATAAAGTCAAGATATGTTAAGGAGACTTGAAGAGGAAGAACTACCAAGAGGGGGAAATTTGCCAATCAATCAATTTCTCTTCAAACTTCCTCGTTCCTTTTAGCAACTAATGTCCTTTCACATTGCTAGAAAGGATAAATTATTGTTCCCTAAACAAGCCTTTCCATCTTTGCTGTGCCTAAACGTGCCCAAACATGCCTTAATGGACAATCCCTTCCTCCCCTCCTTTCTTTACAAGTTAAGTGTTTAAAGGTTTAAGTTTACCCTATTTGGAAAAGTTTTACCACTCCTACCCCTTCTCCCCTGTCTACCCTATTTGGAAAAATTTCAAGTTTTAGCCAATCGGGCTAGCTTAAATTGTGTGGTCTGACTTCAGCCAATGGGGAAAGGACACAGAAACAGAAGTTGCATTAGGGATAAAAATCCTTCTCTCCTTTGTTCAGTGTGCTCTTGTGATTGTGACTGGTGCAGGCAGCACCCTTCTGCAGAAGTAAATTTGCCTTGCTGAGAAGTCTTTTGAGTGCCCGTTTTGAGACTCCAAGCTCTTATTTCCAACACTGGGATTACAGACATGTGCCACCATGCCCAGCTAATTTTTGTATTTTTAGTAGAGATGGGGTTTCTCCATGTTGGCCAGGCTGGTTTTGAACTCCTGACCTCAGGTGATCTGCCTGCCTTGGCCTCCCAAACTGCTAGGATTACAGGTATGAGCCACTGTGCCTGGCCATAATTCATTTTAAAAATTTTATTTATTACTTATAGAGATGGGAGTTTGCTATGTTGCCCAGGCTGGCCCTGAACTCCTGGCTTCAAGCAATCCTCCCGCCTCAACCTCCATAGTATCTAGAGTATAGGTTTGCACCATAGCACCAGGCAACTGAGTGCAATTCAGTCCCTCCATATATACTACCAAATGTTCGTCTCAAATATATACTGCCTCCATATATACTGCCCAGTTGGTCTCAAACTCTGGTCCTCAAGTGATTCACTTGCCTTGGCCTCTCAAAGTGTTGGGATTACAGGCATGAGCCACCCCGCCCGGACTCAAATAGTAAATCTTGTTCTTACCAAAGCAGTAACTGAGGAGTGAGCAGGACCCTTCTAGCCACAGGTGATGCTTCCGACAGATCACAAATGAATTTAGAATTCTAGTTTAACAATATCACTCTTTACTCAAGTGGAATGGACTATATATTTTTTCCACCTCTGTAAGCAAAGTTCATTTTAGCAGTTTGTAGAACTGGTGTCCAGTTTTCCACCTAGCCATGCCTATTTATATCTTTTCAATCAAGAAAGATTCTCCATCTCTAGTAAGAAAGCATCATCTTCCTAAAGTTCACTTAACTGTATGAACTGTGAGGATCTAAATTCTACAGTATTTCCCTTTGTAGAGTTTATTAAACGCTAATGCTAGGCACATACACATCTTTGAAAACTGCCTTAAACATTTTCCTTCCTGGGACTCCCTGTAAATGAATTTCATTCTTACTGTCCCAATCCCAATCCTAGGAATTAACTGAAAAATAAACTACAAACGTGAGCAGAACAGCCTTCACAATGAATCCTAGATAAAACAGTTCAATTATGTGAAAGGCGTATTCCTTCCCACACGCATGCCAGACTGTGATTTTCCCATCCTAGCAACTGTGACATTACCGAAACATCTGTTCCTGACACTGTTCAACTGTTTAAATAACCAAGGAGGAGAAAAAAAAAAAGATTTACAATTAAATAGTATTTAGGGTCCCAACTGTCAGAGTCCAAAAATCCAAAGGTCATCTATGCAAAATTAGGAACATGCATTTTTCTCCAAAGAGTATCTCTGGCTTTAATCTGATTCTCAAAAGGATCCTATAATCCAAGAAAGTTTAAAAACCATTGGAACAGTAATTTATTCCTGAGCTATTTGACTGCCATCGATCCATCTGTTATAAAACTGAAGGGAAAACACACATTTGAATCACTTCTTCTAAAGCTTTAGTAAATGATCTGTTCAAATAAGCAATTACATAAAAGAATAAAACCAAATTTCCAACCTAAAATTCTGACAGGAGAGTCAACATGATGGTTAAGGCCTATTTCAAATTCAAACTTCAATCTATGAAAGAGGAGACAGAGAAGGGTCTCCGCTTTCAAATTAAATATTATAAAAACAATTTTAAAAAAGTATCAATAGTCCTAAAATGCAGCAACTCCATCTCAAACAAGCATGACACATTTCTGATCAGATGAAGTATTTATAAAGGTAGCTTGTGTTTTAAGCATGTAACACTTTGGGTGATGACAGAAGTTTCTCCTCTTTGGATGAAACCTGCCTAAGGCTGTAGAGATGACCAACACTCTGCAGGTATTAGTTCTGAATAACTACTGCGGGCTTTACATGATCTTCCCTCCAGCAGGAGACCACAATTGAGTCTAAAGTCAGATCCACTGTGTCTGTGGGTAGGCAGGGTTGATTCAAACTTAATCCTCGTTTGTATTCATTTGGATTACCGCAAAAACAGCTAGGGACCAGAGTGAATGTCTGGTGAGGTGGAACTGCAGAGGTGAAAGGTGTCAAACATTTTCAATTTGGCAGTTTCTTCAAGGTGTGTAAAAATTCACGTGCAGAAGGTCTGGCAGTGTCTTTTGTAAGTTTTCGTGTTGCCGTATTTCTGAAGAAGCTCTAGGGCCTGCTGCTGCATTTCCTGGGCCAGACACCCAGGAAAGTGGGACCTGATGAGAAGCAGGACGAGGCAGCACTCCAGCACATCTGGGAAGGGCCAGGCCTGAAAGATGATGACATGAGGATGAATAAGGAAGCATTTGCAAAGGAGCCACAAACACCTTCACAGAAGGCACCAGTGACTCAGGTTCATCTATAGACATTTCTTGGACACAGCTGATCCAGCTCTCTCCTAAGGCAATGTCCTGTCTTTCTCTTCAACGGTTACTCCAAGGAGAAATGACACTGAAAACTGGGATGGTTGCTGGGATGTCCTTCTCAATGGCACAATCTCTTTCTACAGCACTATGCAAATCAACCCTTAAAAATGGTGCTTCTATTACTATTTGGGCCCACAGCCAAAAAGACCTGTCCATCTGTAAGCTGTCTAATACATGGCACCAATCTAAATTTTACTTCTTACCTATTACATTTATTTAGTTTCTCTGAAGACTGAGGTATAAAATTACTTGTGTGATCAATAATTCTATTCTCACAAAACATCCTAGCTAACCAAAGTAATTGGATTCTAAATTCTTAAGCTCATATGAATGGGTAGAGATTTTAGAAACTGAACAGAGAGGTAGCTGACCTATAAGAACGTGTAGTCAAGTGATAACACAAAAAGTGATGCTTTACCAAATGAACTGCTTTAACTCTTACCTTAATGCTCTCAGGAAATTTCGCCATTCTCTCATTTGCCTCTGTAAGCCTTTTGGTTAATTCAGGCAGAGAAAGTGGCTCATTTTTTTCTTCTTTACTAGTGAAAAAAATAAAAGGTGTAAGTTGTATGTCTTGCCCTGGGTAACATTTTTCTCCCATTGATTTTACTGTGGTAAAATGTATATAACATAAAGCTTACCATTTTAGCCATTTAAACATATATAGTTCAGCGGTTTTAAATACATTCATAATGTGAAAAACATCCCCACCACCCATTTCCAAAACTCTTGTCGTTTTGTAAAACTGAAATTTTATACCCATTAAACAGTAACTTCTCATTCTGCTTCTCTTAGCCCCTATCAATATCATTCTACTTTCTGTCTCTATGATTTTAACTATTTTGAGTACCTCATATAAATGGAGTCATACAGTGTGTGTCTTTTCGTGACTGGCTTATTTCACTCAGCATAACGACCTTCCTTTGTAAGGCTGAATGACATTCCATCATATAGATATGGCACATTTTGCTTATCCATTCACCTGTCAGTGGATACTTAGGTTGCTCCCATGTTTTGGGTATTACGAATAATGCTGCTATGAACACAGGTGTGTGCACATATTTCAGACTCTGCTTTCAATTTTTTTGGGTATATACCCAGATGTGGAAGTGCTGGATCCTATGGTCATTCTATTTTACATTTCTGGAGGAACTGCTGCTATACTGTTTTCCACAGTGGCTGCATCATTTTACATTTCCACCCACAGGCACAAGGATTCCAATGTCTCTGCATCCTCCCCAACACTTGTTCTGTTTCTCTGGTAGTAGCCTAATGGCTATGAAGTGCTACTTCACTGTAGTTTTGATTTGCAATTCCCTAATGATCAGATATTGAGCATCATTTCCTGTGCTTACTGGCTTTTTAGAGAAATATCTATTCAAGCCCTTTGCCCATCCTTGAACAGGATTATCTTTTGTTATGCCTGGGTAACTTTTATCTTTTATTTTTTAAATTTTCTTAAAATTTAAACTTTTGCCCATGACACAGCCCCCAGGAGGTCCTGAGAACATGTGCCACTGCCTGGGTAACTTTTATCTCATTTTATAAATAAAATTCCTTTGTCACCTGGCTTCTTAAAATTTAATTTTTTTTTGTAGAGACAGGGTCAACCAGGCTGATGTGAGTGGCACAATCGTATCTCACTACAGCCTCGAACTCCTGGGCTTAAGTGATCCTCCCACCTCAGCCTCCTGAGTAGCCAGGACTACAAGTGCATGCCACCACAACTGGCTAATTTTAAAAAATTAATTTTTCTAGAGACAGGGTCTCAATATGTTGCCCAGGCTGAACCTGAGTTCCTGGTCTCAAGTGATCCTCCTGCCTCAGCCTCCTAAGTACCTACAGGGTATATGCTACCACACCTGGTTATTTTATTTGTACTTTTTGAGATGAAGTCTCCCTCTGATGCCCAGGTTGGAGTGCATTGGTGTGAGTTTGGCTCACTGCAACCTCTGCAGCCCAGGTTCAAGTGATTCTCTGGCCTCAGCTCCCCAAGTAGCTGGGATTACAGGCATGTGCCACCATACCTGGCTAATTTTTGTATTTTTAGTAGAGATGGGGTTCATCATGTTGGCCAGGCTGGTCTCAAACTCCTGACCTCAAGTGATCCGCCCACCTCAGCCTCCCAAAGTGCTGGAATTACAAGCGTGATCCACTGTGCCTGGCCTTTTTTTTTTTTTTTTTTTTTTTGTAGAGACAGGGTCTCACTTTGTTGCCCAGGCTGGTGGTAAACTCCTGGGCCAAGTGATCCTCCTGCTTCAGCCTCCCAAAGTGCTGGGATTATAGGCACGAGCCACTGTTCCTAGTCAGCAGGGTTATTTTTCATTCCATCTTGCACTTGCCTCAGTACTTACCACTGGCTCTGAGAACTGGAGAGGGGCTGCTCTGCTTCTACTTCCAGTTCATTCTTATCAGGACCATTTGCTGTGGATTTACAGAGTTGACTCCTCTGGTGCTGGCGGATCATTTCTGCCAAGGTCTCTTGGACTTCAGCAACAGTTCTCTGTGAGTTTTGGAGACTGGCATGCTTTTCTGAAAAGAGCTCCTTAAAAGTACTCAGTATTCGCTCACCTTCTTCTGTGAGTCTCAAGTCTAGTTCCGAGGGTCTGTTTGGCTCTGGCTGAGAAGTTTCAGGGTCAGTTTCTTCAGTGCTGGCAGTGTCTAACTGCTGGCTTGGCTCAACACAGAGTGTTCTGTGACCAGTCCCTACCCAGACACTGGAATTTGGGCAAGGCCTAGAGAGAGACCACCAGAATTCATACAGACGCCCATAAAGAAAAAAGGCCTCTAGACTTTTGAAAGCTGGCATGGCAGGGGATTGACGGTCACCCAATTTGTCTCTTAGGTGGTCACATCCTAGGAAAAGAGAAAAAAGATACTGGGTCATGCATTTCTCTAGTTGCCAGAAATCTGGCTTCCTGCCCTTATGTTCTATTTCTTATCACCCAAGAAGCAGACCCCAGGAAAAAGGACAACAGTGTGATCCACAGGGCCACATGCCTTTCCACCAAAAGCCAACTGGAGGCTAAACATTTCCTGTCTTGGGACAATGTTCTCATTACTACATCCTAGGAGTCATTCAAAGCATGATAGAGTCCATTTGTCCTACTGAAGGCTCTGGGGCCACAATGACTGAGGTAAGATCACACTGTCTCTCTGAAAAATCACAATGATTTAGTTCAGTGACTATGCAGCCCAAGGAAGGTGAATCTTTTTGCTGTTCTTACTAACATGTAACTACATTCCTATTTCTCTCTCCCTTAAACTGTGTGGAAAGTGGACAGGAGGCAGTAAAAGGGTAGGGCCAGGTAAAGGAAACAGTATAGATATTCTTAAAAGCTTGGGTAAGAGAATCCAAACTTTCTACTGAAATGACACAGCTGGCCAATCTCCATCTTTTAAGAATTTAGGTACTCCCAGTGCCACACCACTAGTGGTGGTGAAGTTGTCCACTAAAGGGTGTGCCTCAGGCAGGGGGGAGTCATTTACCGTCAGGAAGAAAGGCTGAGTACACTTCCTGCATGATGGTGAAGCTCCCCGAGTCATAGCTCCGGACCACTGCCTGAAGGAGCGCCTGCACAGCCTCGTCCCAGGAGGCCATCTGCTGGCTCAGCACTGCCAGGGTCAAGTCATGGCAAATGTGAAGCAGGAGCTGGAGAGAGAAGCCAGAGTCTGAGGTAAACATCCTCCCACGGTAGGCACAGAGGATGCCACCAAACTGTTCCTGTGAACCGCATTTGGAAACAAGTACACACAATTCACACTTAAGAAAGTTCCTCTTGTTTCTGCCACCCATTTTTGCTTCCCCCATCAGAAACTCTCATGTCTAGCTGCACAGCAACACCTACGTCCCGGTGTTAAAGTCTGTTCACACTGAGAAAACACCTTTACATTTGCATTTAATTGAAACAAAAAGTGAGTTTCTGGAACTAAAAGCTGTAATCAAAAACACAATAAAAGCTGGGCGCAGTTGCTCACACCTGTAATCCCAGAACTTTGGGAGGCTGAGGCGAGTGGATCACCTGAGGTCAGGCGTTCAAAGACTAGCCTGGCTAACGTGGTGAAACCCCGTCTCTAAAAAAAAAACCAAAAATTAGCCGGGCATGGTGGTGCAAGGCTGTAATCCCAGCTACTCGGGCGGCTGAGGCGGAAGAATCGCTTGAACCGGAGAGGTGGAGGTTGCAGTGAGCCCAGATTGTACCACTGCACCCCAGCCTGGGTGACAGAGTGAGACTCTGCCTCAAAAAAAACAAAAAACAAAAAACAAAAAACCCAAAACAAAACAAAACAAAGCATGGAGTACAACTAAGAAAAATGTGCTCAATTTGAAGTATGTATTTTGATAAATTCTGAGAAGCATATATAGCTCCATAACTACCAGCAAAATCAAGACAGAACATTTTCATCAACTGAAGATATGCCCTCCAGCCCCTCTGCAGGCCATCTCCTGGCCCCACCCCACTGGCAACCACTGAACTGGTTGTTTTGTCACTTTAATTTTTTCTTTTCTAGAATTCACATAAATGGAACCACAGAGTATACGGTCTTTTGTGTCTTTAATGCTTTTGAGAGTCACCGATATTACTATTATTTTTGAGATGGAATCTCGCTCTGTCGCCCCGACTGGAGTGTAGTGGCGTGATCTCGGCTACAAGCTCGGCCTCCTGGGATCACGCCATTCTCCTGCCTCAGTCTCCTGAGTAGCTGGGACTACAGGCGCCCGCCACCACGCCCAGCTAACACCGATATTATCTGTGTGGCAGTAATTTGTTCCTTTTTTTTTTTTTTGAGACAGTCTTGCTCAGTCACCTAGGCTGGAGTGCAGTGGTGCAATCTTGGCTCACTGCAAGCTCCGCCTCCCGGGTTCACACCATTCTCCTGCCTCAGCCTCCCAAGTAGCTGGGACTACAGGCGTGTGCCACCATGCCCGGCTAATTTTTTTGTATTTTTAGTAGAGACGGGGTTTCACCATGTTAGCCAGGATGGTCTCGATCTCCTGACCTCGTGATCTGCCTGCCTCGGCCTCCCAAAGTGCTGGGATTATAGGCGTAAGCCACTGCACCCAGCTGTTCCTTTTCACTTTTATCTTTTATTGAGACAGCGTCTCATTCTCTTACACAGGCTGGAGTGCAGTGGTGCCATCTTGGCTCACTGCAGCCTCCGCTTCCCAGATTTGAACGATTCTCCTGCCTTAGCCACCCTAGTACCTTGGATTACAGGCTTGTGATACCACACCCGGCTAATTTTTGTATTTTTAGTAAATACAGGGTTTCGCCATGTTGCCCAGTCTGGTCTTGAACTCCCGAGCTCAAGCGATCCACCTGCGTTGGCCTCCCAAAGTGCTGGGATTACAGGTGTGAGCCACCAAGCCTGGCCCTTTTTATTGTTACATAGTATAGTATTTCACTGCATAGACACAACACAGTTTGCATACCCATTCATCAGTTGATGGACATTTGGTTTGTTTCTAGTTTTTGGCTATTGTGGGCTAAGCTGCTGTAAACATTTGTGTACAAGTCTGTGTGGCCATCTGATTTCACTGTTTTAGTGGAATTTCTAGGTAGCAGAACTGCTGGGACATGGGGCATTTGCATGTTTAACTTTATAAGAAACTGCCTGGCCGGGCATGGTGGCTCACGCTTATAATCCCAGCACTTTGGGAGGTTGAGGCAGGTGGATCACCTGAGGCCAGAAGTTCAAGACCAGCCTGGCCAACATGGTGAAACCCTGTCTCTACTAAAAATCTACAAAATAGGCCAGCTACAGTGGTTCATGCCTATAATCCCAGCACTTTGAGAGGCCGAGGTGGGCAAATCACGAGGTCAGGAGTTCGAGACCAGCCTAGCCAACATGGTGAAACTCCGTCTCTACTAAAAATACAAAAAATTAGCCAGGCATGGTGGCAGGTGCCTGTAATCCCAGCTACTCGGGAGGCTGAGGCAGGAGAATCACTTGAACCTGGGAGGCGGAGGTTGCAGTGAGCCGAGATCATGCCACTGCACTCCAGCCCGGGTGACAGAGTGAGACTCCACCTAAAAAAAAAAAAAAGTAAAAATCTAAAAAATATTAGCTGGGCATGGTGGCGCATGCCTATAATCCCAGTTACTTGGAAGGCTGAGGCAGGAGAATCACTTGAACCTGGGAGACAGAGGTTGCAGTGAGCAGAGATCGTGCCATTGTACTCCAGCCTGAGCAATAAGAGCGAAATTCCGCCTTATAAAAAAAAAAAAAAAAGAAAAAAAAAAAAAAGAAACTGTCCAACTGTTTTTCAAAGTGTATACCATTTGAGAAGTCTTGTTCCTCATAAATATCATAATGTTCCCTCATTTTGAAACAAGGGAAAGAACTATGCCAGGCACAGTGGCTCATGCCTATAATCCCAGTACTTAGGGAGGCTGAGGTGGGAGGATCACTTGAGGAGTTCGAGACCAGCCTGGATTACAGTGAGACCCAGTCTCTACAAAGAAAAAAAAAAAAAGAAGTAGGTATATTCACAAAACAGACACAGCAGTTAAAATAAATCAACTGATCTCTTTTTATTAACATGGATAGATTTTACAAACAACAGCCTCTGAAATAAGCAAACTGCAAAACAATACATGTGGCACTGACACAGGAGCTGCCTGTTGGGAGCTGGGAAGGAGTGAAGAGCTGAGGAAAGGAACAAGAAAGGACTTCAACTTTCCCGTACTGTGTTTATTTTATGAAGTCCTCAAATCAAAATACAAAATGAAACCAGAAAACCCTAACAAAGTAAAAATGACAAAACGTGAACATCTGTTAATTCTGGTTGATGGGTTATTACATTATTCTGCTTTTCCATATATTTTAGACTTTTTTTTTAAGAAAAGGAAATAGTGGCTGTGCGTGGTGGCGCACAACTGTAATCACAGCTCTTGGGAGTCTGAGGCAGGAGAATCTCTTGAACCCCATGTCCCAGCAGGTGGTGGTTGCAGTGAGCCAAGATCATGCCACTGCACTCCAGCTTGGGCGACAGGGCAAGACTCTGTCTCAAAACAAACAAGTAATAATAATAATAAAAAAATGAAACAATAAAAGGGAATACTGATCTAATACTAACTTTAAAGTTAAAGGGCTTTGATTAGTCTGAAGGGATCTTTCCAGGTGGTGTGGGCATGCCTTAGCCTTTTCTGTAACACAATCCGGTATTCTGCTGGTTTCCCTGTTACAACAGACATGGAATTAAGGAAGTCTTACCACTGAGTGATAAATGTCAAAAGCTGGTACAGATGGCTTACCTGTTTGGCAGGCGTGTTATTTGTAGCAGATGGGTACTTGATATTCTGCAGCTTCTGAAAGGCTTCCTGATACTGCTCAGGGGTGTCAACGCTGAAGATGCTCTTCCACACTGCAGTCACCCTCTCCACGAAAGGCCCTTCTGTGCCCGTGGTCCAAGTGTGGTAAGAGGAGGAGCTTTTGCCCTCTGAAAACCGCTTTTCCTCCAGATGCCGGGACAGCAGCTCCAGAAGGCAAAACACCAATCTCTGACCCTGGAACACAACAAGGAAGAGGAACTGTTACACAGGGAAGGCGCTCGGATCATCTCGAGAGCTCTTCTGAGTCCTTCGAAGTATTTCCCTTTGTATCTGCAGCAACCAAAGCACATTAGTGAGCTACCTGCCCCCCGTGAGTCATGCATGAAAAGGGACAAAGGGGGCGACCTGACAGACACTTCCCAGGTCCCTTTTTGGGGGAAATCTATCCTTGGAGCTCAAGAAACCATTTTTATGACACGGAATCCCAACTGTAGCCCTACCCACAATGACTTAAGCACACACAGACCAGCCACTTAAGGTCTGTAGCCTAGTTTGAGGAAAGATGGGCTGGGCTCATCAGGTTCTTTCTCCCTGACCAAACTTTGGACTCAGGAATAAAAGCATAATGGGCCAAAGCTGCTGGAATAGACAAGCTCTGTAGATCCAAGAGCTGGGACAGGCATTAGGAGCCATGTCCAAATAGTTTTAATAGAGGAAATCGGCTGGGAGGGAAGAAAACAGAAGCACAGAGAAAAGGCCTACAAAATTTATTTTCACTACATTTTTAGTTGCCATGAGATTCCTTGTATACTCCTATAACAGTATCTTCTCAGTTAAGCTTGGAAGAGTCTCTGTTCCACACAGCCAAAATAGCCCTTATCAAAATACTTAGCATATGCTTGTTAGGTTTTCTTGCTTTGTTAAGGATGCTGTTTAAGAGAAAAACTAAAACGCTAAACAGTCATTCTGGAAACTTTGTGGATAAATTAAAATCTCTCTGGACTTAGTCATTTTCTAAATAATGCTCAGTGGCATTATCTTTTAGGGTGTCCTATTGTCGCCTCCATTTTTATTCTGCTGTTCCCAGAAAGCTACCTCCCCATGTACCATGTTCCTTGGGCTCTAAATATTCAGCTAAAAACCATCTTTAGGCCCCGTACTCTGCTAGGGAACGAAGAACTTAAAAAAACTCTTGTTAGTAGACCGGGCGCAGTGGCTCAAGCCTGTAATCCCAGCACTTTGGGAGGCCGAGACGGGCGGATCACGAGATCAGGAGATCGAGACCATCCTGGCTAACCCGGTGAAACCCCGTCTCTACTAAAAATACAAAAAAACTAGCCGGGCGAGGTGGCGGGCGCCTGTAGTCCCAGCTACTCGGGAGGCTGAGGCAGGAGAAGGCCGTAAACTTGGGAGGGGGAACTTGCAGTGAGCCGACATCCGGCCACTGCACTCCAGCCTGGGCGACAGAGCGAGACTCTGTCTCAAAAACAAAAAACAAAAAACAAAAAACAAAACAAAACAAAACAAAACAAAAAACCTCTGGTTAGTATCTGACAAAGTTATCTAAAATGAATCAAATGTTTACATGTTTTAGAAACTAGGTAAGTGCCAATGCTTTAATCTGTTTTGATGTGTCAAAAAGGCAGTGATATGTTACTCATTTTTAACCAGATGGGAACCAAAAAAATTTAAGAAATAAGACATTTCTATTTTCCCACACTTTTCTCTTTTTTATTCTGAAGAGTCTCACTCTGTCACCTAGGCTGCATTGCAGTGACACAATCTTAGTTCATTGCAACCTCTGTCTCCTGGGTTCAAACTATTCTCCTGTCTCAGCCTCCCAAGTAGCCAGATTACAGACGTGTACCACCACGTCTGGCTAATTTTTGTATTTTTAGTAGAGACGAGATTTTGCCATGTTGGCCAGGCTGGTCTCGAACTCCTAACCTCAAGTAATCTGCTGCATCCGGTCCAGTTTTTTCCATAGCTTACAGTTAAGAGGACTGTTTACAGGTAGAGTTCCATGATTTCTGTTAGAGGCCAACCATTCCCTCTTCAAGGAAGACAGTGCTGATAACATCAATGAAGAAACCCTAGACTGCCAACCCAAGGCCTGGGCTGACTAAAGTCTGTTCACAGGCGCTTTTTTTTTTTTTTTTTTTTTTTTTGAGACAGAGTCCCACTATGTCGCCTAGGCTGGATCTCGGCTCACTGCAACCTCCGCCTTCCGGGTTCAAGTGATTCTCCTGCCTTAGCCTCCCGAGTAGCTAGGATTACAGAAGCGTGCCACCACGCCTGGCTGATTTTTGTATTTTTAGTTGAAACGGGGTTTCACCATGTTGTCCAGGCTGGTCTCGAACTCCTGACCTCAAGTGATCTGCCCGCCTCAGCCTCCCAAAGTGCTGGGATTACAAGTGTGAGCCACCGTACCTGGCTCACAGGTGTTTTGTACAAACAGATAAGCAATGGGAATTACTGTCAATGACCATATTATCTCTTACTCTGAATATGGCAACTAACAAGTCACAGTACTTCAGTGAGATAGCATGGCCAGGGCTTGCTGGGCCTGCCAAATTGGCACAGCTTGTGCAACTGGGTTATTAACTCAGATCTGACTAGACGAGGATTTGGGACACTTCCCTCTTGTATACTAGGAGATGAAATAACAGACTGACCTGTAGACTTTCATGCAGCTGTAGGGCTTCCTGGGCTCCCACCCAGTTGTTGGCCAGAAGCAGCTCTTGGGCACATCTGAGCGCCAGGGAAGCAGACAACTCATCCTCTCCTATGATGGCAGCCAACTCTGCAGCCGTTCTAAGTGATGCTGCATCCCCCTTTTTGGCCAAAACTTTGGCTGCATCATAAGCACAAGTGGCCCCTAAATAGCTATAATATGAATAAAAATGTGAAGAAAAGGTCATAAACAGATCTTTTATTCCCGCTCCTAGAGGATGGAATCACTTCTTTCTATCCACTTTGCTGCATGTGCCTTCCTGTGGTCCCAGGTATGTCACTGCCCCGGTTGTTCCTGTGAAGGCTGAGGCCAGCACAATTCAGCGGAGTCTATGAGAAACAATATCATCTAGGTTGAGGACATAAGGAAAATGAGTGGGAATGACTCCTCTGTTTGGGTTCAATCCAGCATGGGTTCAGGTTCCTTTACTTGATGTTATAAGAGACCATTAGAAAAATGCATAATTTCTGAATCTGCTACTGAGGTTTTTCTTGAATAGTTATAGTGATTTACATAAATAAATCAGGAGGTAGTTCCTGATGAGTCTTATGAAACTAAGTTGAATATACATACCTTTTAAACAATTTCTCGCTGCTTTACTTCCACCTCTAAACTTATTACTTGTGTTCCTGTCCTCCCCTTTCTGGCAGAAGCTCTTCTATGTTGGATGCATCCCTCCACTCCTCAGGCTTACCATTTGGCTGCGACAGCATAATGGCCATCTCTTTCTAGGACGGTTCCCCAGCTGAGGTACAAGTCCTTCAGGACTGGGTCCTCTGGGCGCAGCCGGGCCTTGGCAATTGCAATAGCTTCCCTAAAGGCAAGAATAGACACTTTAGCCAATCTGAAAAGGCTCCTCTGTGTATGGCCCTAGGAGGGGCTGTAAGACAGGACAAATTGTCCCTTTTGCGTTGTCTTATTGTTTCAACTTCCTTTAAAAAACTGCACTTGCATTAGATAGACAAATTACAAACACATGCTTCATTCGTTTCTTCACTTAGATCAGCAGTTCTTAAATTTGTGGTCTGTGGATTCCTAGGGGGTCCTCAAGAACCTTTCAGAGGGTTCATGAGGTTATAACTATTTTTGTAACAATGCTAAGAGTCAGTTATGTGTTGTTTATTAAAAAAAAAAACTGTGTTGACATTTGCACTGATTGTGCAAAAGTAATGGTTGGTAAATTCTGGCATCTAAGAAAGAAGGCAGTGGCTCTTATAGTGGGAAAAAAGGGAGAATGCCCTTAATGAAGCAGTAAAAATTATGAATTTTACTAAATCCCTCAAGTCCAAAACACTTTAATATATTGTGTGTGACAAATGGGAAGAACATTTTGTGTTCTCTGCTGCATTCCAAAGTAGGATGGTTGTCTCCAGGAAACACCTGTATGAACAAATTACAAGCTAAACTGGCTGTTTTTTTTCACAGAACCTGCTTTCTTAAAAAAAAAAAAAAAAAAGACTAACCACTTCATTAAAAACAACCAACAGTATTTGTTACTAATGATAAAATGTGAGTTTTCTAGCAAAAATTAGAATTTTAGAAAACTTGTACGTACCACTTGTGTGCTTGACAGTTTCCCATAAGTTAGAATTTTCTGATGAGAGTGATGGTGATAGTAAGGAATGTGACATTTTTGGGTATTTTATAATAAGATATGTTAACATTTGGATCTGTACAACTCAGTAAACATATATTTTTCGTTTTTTTTTTTTTTTTTTTTTGAGACGGAGTCTCACGCTGTTGCCCAGGCTGGAGTGCAGTGGCGCGATCTCGGCTCACTGCAAGCTCCGCCTCCTGGGTTCACGCCATTCTCCTGCCTCAGCCTCCTGAGTAGCTAGGACTACGGGTGCCCGCCACCGCGCCTGGCTAATTTTTTGTATTTTTAGTAGAGACGGGGTTTCACTGTGGTCTCGATCTCCTGACCTTGTGATCCGCCCGCCTCGGCCTCCCAAAGTGCTGGGATTACAGGCTTGAGCCACCGCGCCCGGCCTAAACATATATTTTTCAAATGACAAACAACTGCTGAGTTGTAGCCAACATAAAGTTGTAGCTGGGGAAAAAAGTGTTTTATTAAAGTGATCTAAACAGAGCAATATTTTGAAAGTATTTTGGGACTTCTACTTCCAGCTATGATGGAATAACTGGGATCAGACCTACCTTCCTGCCATAAAACTAAAATACTGGACAAAATGTCTGAAACAACTGTTTTCAGACACTGGGTAACAGGCAGCACAGGACAGTAACCCCTAAGAGAACAGAAACAAACGATGGGAACCCTATCTGGGCACTGGCTTTCTGCCCAAAGCCATTTTCCTAAGGAAAACCCAAGCAAAACCTCAGCGGTCTCTGAGTTGAAAAGAGGAAACAATGGCAATCTGAGGGGCAGGATACTAGGAAGGAGGAAGTTGTCCAGAGAAAGACATCCATATTGAGTCTTTGGCTAAATTCAAAGCCACGTATGTAAAGGAAACTCCATAAGTCTAAACAAAGAATGACTAGGTAACTGTAAGCTGAACAATTACCAGAGCTTACTCAGGACCTGGAGACATCTGAGTTTTGACTTGTTGAATGCATAAGGCATTCAATAAAGATATCAGAATGTAGGAGGTCCAAACTAATTCTAGAATATGATAAACTTGCCCTAACAAAGTTTAAAAACAAGCCATGAAAAGATCAAGCTGATATACAACTTTACTACTTGCCAAAACAAAGTTCAACACTCTCTAAAGGAAGACAACAAAACCAAAGCAGGGTAGGACAAAAAGAAAATCTTGGTTAAGCATGGTGGCTCATGCCTGTAATCCCAGCATTTTGGGAGGCTGAGGCAGGAGGATCGCTTGAGCCCAGGAGTTGGAAATCAGCTTAGACAACACAGCAAGTCTCCGTCTCTACAAAAAACTAAAAAAACAGCTGGAGGTGGTGGCACACACCTCCTGAGTAGTCCCAGTTAGGGGGCTGAGGCAGGAGGACTGTTTCTTCTCTTTATGTTACTTTAACAATAGAGAAGTTTAGATTACTTTCACATTATGTCCAAGTATTATCCCAACTCTATGACTACACATACCTGTAAAAATGGTTTGACTTGAGCAGCTCCACAGCTTCATACACTTTGTGGATGGAAAGTAGGTGAGAAGCAGCCTTGACATACTGATCCTGAAAACACAGCTGTTTGGCAAAAGCTTCCACAGCCCATAGCCACACATGGTAGCCAGCTGAAAAAATAAAAGATGGTGGTTAAAAAACAGTTGAAGAGAAGTTAAAAACAAAACCCAGTATATTTGGGTTGAAAAGCTTTGTTTTCAGTCGATGCATTCAGCAGAACATTTAGATACCAATTCAGCCACCACTACGGATGATCTGCTTCATCTACACATTCTGAAACATCAATTGTTTGATTATGTAACACCAACAAAACAGTACAAAGCTGAAAAGATACAGAAAGGAATGTGTGAGCACAGTTAGATAAATTCCTATAATTAGAATTGACGAACCAAAGGTAACATGCTTACGTGCTTTTTTTCTTTTTTTCTCTTTCCTTTTATTGTTTTTTGAGACAGGGTCTTGCTCTGTGGCTCAGGCTGGAGCTAAGTAGCACAATCATGGCTCACTGCAGCCTCAACCTCCCTGGGCTCAGGTGATCCTCCCACCACAGCCTCCTGAGTAGCTGGGACTACAGGTACATGCCACCATGCCCAGATAATTTTTTTATTTTTTGTAGAGATGGGGTTTTGCCATGTTGCCTAGGCTGGTCTCAAACTCCTGGGCTCCAGCGGCCTGCCCACCTCGGCCTCCCGAAATGCTGGTATTATAGGCATGAATCACCACACCCACCTTTTTTTTTTCTTTTTTAAAGAGACAAAGGTCTCATGATGTTGCCCAGGCTACAGTACAGTGGCTATTCACAGGCACAATTAACAGTGCCCTATAGGTCTGAATGCCTGGCCTTAAGCAATCCTCCTGCCTCAGCCTCCAGAGCAGCTGGGGACTACAGACTTGTGCCATTGTATCTTTAAAATTTACTAGACATGGCCAAATTGTCCTTCAAGAAGTTCTCACCAATTATGCTTTTGCCATTAAAGTGTCAGTGACCTGCTCTTTTTCACAGGGGTTGGGTTGGATTTACGAGTTTGTCTACTGCTGCAAACAGGATTAGCATTGTATCTATTTGTAAGTGATTTCAAGCTTAAGACTGGTACTGCCAAGAGCCATCTTTAGTGGACGTATCCCAGAGATGATAGAGCTTTTACTGAAAAGAACAAGCACGAAAACCATACCCGCTGGTGCCATAGCCACAAGGTTGTCTGTCAGCTCCCCTCTTTCCGCTGCGGTTTGGAGAACACCTTTGAGATCTCCTTTCCAAAGCATAAGCTGGTGAAATAACTCAGGGTGGCCATTTTCTAAGTGACCTTTTCCTGTTTGAAAGAGAGATAATGTTTGGAAGGTGTTTCGGAAACATCTATTACTGACTTGTAGAAAAAGATAAAGCAAGATAGAAGAGAAAGTGGGCTCCTAAAATATGCAGTCATTCTCTGATAGGTGTCACCTACCAGAGTGATTACAAAAGGATGTGAAGCCCACTCGGTCACTGTCCACTCACCCACCTTCACATGTACTCAGAGTGAATGCTGTATGTTTAGGATCCTATGATGATGCAAGGGATGTATCAATATGTAAGTCAGTGAGCTCAAAACCTAGTTAGCTGACAGGTAAAACTAACCATTATAATATCACAGGATGGCAGCCATCAAAGAGGTGCACACAAAATGTTGGGAAAGTATAAAGATGGATGGGATTACGTTGACTGGATTTGCCTCACCTTCTATATCAATCATTCTGTACAGCGTAGCCCTGTCTGTGAAAAGCCCCAGATGAAATCTTTCCTCAAGATCAGCAGACACATCTTCATTCGGTTCTGTTAATTTAAAAGGGAAAAAAAATCAGATGACGTCATTACATTGGTTACAGTTTTCTGTCCAATAACTTCCGAATATATGTTTGGAACACCCACTTCAGACACCGAGAGAATCAGAGCTCTAACAGACACTCCTGCAGTTACAAAGGGAGCAAAACACAAAAACACTTAAAATGTTAAAAGTGAACCCAAAATCAGCACATATTTAAGTGCAGTAAAAAGCAAGCAAAACAATATTAGTAAGTAAAAGAAAGTTCTTAATATTAACTGAGACTTACCACAAGGGGATTCAATATTCATCCTTTGCTTAAAAAAAAAGTCAACTGAGTAATTTTCCAGTAAGGAAAATAATGTGAAACTAGAAGGTTAACTATGTAAATTATAGGAAGTCATCACAAAGCTCCAAAGAGAAGGCTATGTATATAATAAAAGCATAAAACATCTCCATTAAGACACAAGAAACTGATAATAGTTTGATTATGTAATACAGACAAAACAGTACAAAATTCAAAAGAAAGAACGAAATGGAAACCCAGGATAGTGACCACCCTTGTTAGGGTAGGGGGAGACAGTAACTGGGAGGGAGGATGGTCCTCCATTCCCGGGGAGGAGAAACAGAGGACTGGGAGGACGATTTACTTTGAAAAAAAAAATTTTTAAAAATTGTTTTTTTTTTAAAGTAGAGACAGGGTCTCACTATGTTGCCCAGGCTGGCCTTGAACTGAGCTCAAGTGATCCTTCTGCTTCAGCCCCTTAAGCATCTGGGATAACAGGCACGCACCACTGTGCCGGGCGAGATTCACTTTCTTTTTATACTGTTTCCATTTCATTTTATTATGTGCATCCCTTTTCCACATGTAAACTTCAAATTTAAAAAATAAAGTTATTAAAATATCAAAATAGTGGACATTAAATGAAGACTTTAAAAACAAAAATAAAAAAACCCTTCAAAACAAAACTTTCATCAAAAGCTTTCATCAAAAGCTTTTTTTAAGAAACTGCCATATTATGGGCATATTTCCAATAAGAAAAATTTTTTTCTCCATAAGGATACTGTTCAATGGGGAAAAATAGTTGAAGGAATTTATTCATGCTGAGATATTTAGGCCAACATACCAATTCTGGCACACAGATGGCTGGGAGGAAGTAGATTTAGAATAAAAGCAGAGCACTACATCTCAAAGGCATGGCAGTGCTGACAGTGGATCACAATGGGGAGTGTGGCAGCAGGGTGTAGGGGTGTAGGGATGTGGAGGGAAGGGAAGGCTGGAGAACATAAAAATACAGAAAACAATTTTAGACATTTCTTTGGGCATTCATTCAATAGCTAAGTAAACATCCCTTATATGTCAGTCCCAGAATACTATGGATGGGCCAAGGGAGTACATTTTTGTACCTTTGGAGTGCTTTGCAGTTGCTAGTACCAAACAGTCCTGATGAAGCTCCTCTTTGGATCTGTGGTCCAGGCTTGTACTCAGGGGAAGCAAGGAACGAGCTTTTCTCTTCTTGATTAAGGCTTCTGAAATGTAATAAAAGTACACACTATCTGAAGGAGAGCTGATCAGAAACATAAAATGGAATGCCTATTGTGTGAATGTAACCTACTGGCAGATGACGCCACAGGCACAGAAAGTTCCTCCTCCTAATAAAGAAGCTTTCAAAATAAATTTGCTGGGGGCATTGTTCACAATACACACAAAAACGCTCTTGCTAACATTTATGATGTAATATCAACAACTGCAAAACATTTCAGCAAGTGCTAAAAAAAATTCAAAAGCATGACCCAAAATGGAAGGCTGGGTGCAGTGGCTCATGAATGTAATCCCAGCACTTTGGGAGGCTGAGGCGGGCGGATCACTTGAGGCCAGGAGTTCGAGACCAGCCTGGCCAACATGGTGAATTCCCACCTCTACAAAAATTAGCTGGGCATGGTGGCAGGTGCCTGTAATCCCAGCGACTCCGGAGGCTGAGGCAGGAGGATTGCTTGAGCCCGGGAGGTGGAGTTCATAGTGAGTCGAGAGTGCGCCACTGCCCTCTAGCCTGGGCGACTGGAGTGAAAATCTATCTCAAACAAAAAACAAACAAAAAACCCATAATCAGAAAACCCACAAATATTTTGAACCTAAAAAAACAAACAAGAAACCACACTGTTTTTTGACAGTTGCATGTAATATTTTGGGCTGCTTTAATAAAATACTGTATTTTAATTACTAGATACCAACCTGGCTTCTCTTTTGGTGGCTCCTTTTTCAGTAAAATGACTTTGTTATTAATGGTGACTTTTGACTTTTCAAAGCCTGAGGAAACCGGAGTGCAGATAACTGGTTCTCTGATAACTGGTTCTCTAGAAACTACATCATGGGGGAAAAAGGAAAAAAAAAGTTGAGGATAAAAATAATACAGAATTTCAGTTCTTTTTAAAAATTAAGAGCCATTCCAAGCTCAGCAATACAATCAATTCATCTATTACCAAAACTTTTGAGATAAAATACATCGGAAGGGAAGTAGGGATAGTTTTCCCTTCCCCATCTCCCAAACTAGCTGTTTTCAGGAATCTGTATGTCTATTACTTTGGTTTTTTTTTGTTTTTTTTTTTTTTTTTGACACAAAGTCTCACTCTGTTGCCCAGGCTAGAACTCAGTGGTGCGATCTCAGCTCACTGCAAGCTCTGCCTCCTAGGTCCAAGCAATTCTCCTGCCTGAGCCTCGTCAGTAGCTGGGACTACAGGCACAAGCCACCATGCCTGGCCAATTTTTGTATTTTTAGTAGGGACGAGGTTTTGCCATGTTGGCCAGGGTGGTCTCAAACTCCTGACCTCAGGTGATCCACCCGCCTCAGCCTCCCGAAGTGCTGGGATTACAAGCGTGAGCCACCACTCCCAGCTTACTTTGAACTGTTTTTTCTTTTTTTTTTGGTTAGAGATAAGGTATAACTCTTGCCCAGGCTGGAGTGTAGTGGTGTGATCACAGTCACTGAGGCCTTAACCTCCTGGGCTCAGGTGACCCTCCCCTCCTCAGTTTCCCAGAGTGGCTAGGACTATAGGCATAAGCCATTATCTTGGCAATTTTTACATTTTGTGCAGAGATGGGGGTTCCCTATGCTGCTTAGGCTAGTCTCAAGCTCCTGGGCTGATGCGAGTCTCCTTCCTTGGCCTCTCATAGTGCTGGGATTACAGGCATGAACCACCATGCCTGCCTTACTTTGAACTTTGACTAAGGAAAAAGCTTCCAGCCCTCAACAACTTTACACCATAAGCCAAAGAGTTCCTATACTTTGCTCAAGTGACAAAGCACTTTTTACATTTTTAGGTCATAAAGTACTAATTGCATATTTAATTATACTAACAAGAAGTAACTTTAATAATAGAGAATACTAGGTGTATGCAATATGGTATCACAATCCTGAGCACAGTAACTTTTTAGAAACAACTTGTTGATCCATGTTTCGTATAGCCATTTTGTGAAAGAAAGGTTCTTTAAAAAAAGAAAAATAAAGAGATGTAGGATCTTGCTGTGTTGCCCAGGCTGGCCTCAAGCGGTCCTCCTGCCTCAGCCTCCTGAGCAGCTGGGACTAGAGGTATGTGCCACTGTACCCGACTAGAAAAGCATTTTGATGAGCCAAAATAATAAATCCATTAGGCTTTTGCTCTTTATTTACCCCAACTATGTGTCTAACAGCTATCCCTTGGGATGGAGAGCATCAGGAATGCCTTGTATCCTATATTCTAGTCATTTTAATTCTGTCACATCAATGTATTCTGTTTTAGAATTAAGCATGAGTCATTGCTTCTGCTTACAATGTTTGCTATTTAATAATTTATTTTAACAGGGACCAGATATTTAAGGTAATACTTTAAGGTAAGGTACAAAATAAAAAGAGTGCTAAAATTTTTACCTAAAAACAGTTTTTCTGTTAGTGATAGAACACTGTTTTGTGAGAAATCTGAGAACCACCACTATAGCTTAACTCACTAGAAGAAACTAATAACCATTCCACACATTTTTTTCTGTGAGAAGACAGAAAGCCACGTACAAACTCCAGGTAAGAGGGTTTGAGAGCTTGCAAGTTCCCACAGTGGTGGTAGCTTCTAGGTCAGACATTTGTAAGAGGGACAGTGGTTTCTTTCACCAAATGTGGCCACTGATGTCATACTGTTAAAACTTTTCCCATGTAAGTTCCTAAGTATACAACTACCCAAGCTTCACTTTGTCCCATGGTTTTACCTCGCTCAAGGTAAATAAGAAGTTTTCTCTATAGAACTTTACTATTTCCACTGCAAACATCCACTAGAACCCTTTTAAAATGTCAAAGATGTTTATTTTAGAGACTTGAATAAAGCTTGGAAAAAACAAAACAAAACAAAAACAAAACTAATGCTGTTTCCAAGAGTTGGAAAAATGGGAACAGCGAAGTTTCAAACTGAGTAAGGACCTAGCTTAGTCTCCTAGACATGACCACGAAATCCCAGTGACACCCAGGATTCTGCCACATACCCGCTGGAGCGAGGCCGCAGGGTAATTCCGGCTCCCGTGCTTCCTCCTCCCCTTCTTGGTCTGACACACCATTCTCCACAGGTCCCAAGTTCTCCTTCATGCTCTCTTCTTCATTTCCATCAATCGATTCCAGCTTTACAGGAGTTCTCAAGGTGGGCTTTTTCTTCTTTTTGGGCTTTGGCTTAGGTTGAGAGAGCCGTTTTTTCTCTAATTCAATACTTTTTTTGCCTACAAGAATCACAATAAAGAAGGACAGACTAAAGTATATGTTCTTGGTTAAAAGACACTTTAGGTGGTAAACTCCAATATCTCATTACTCTTTAATAGCATTTTAACCCATTCCCTTCCTTCCCAATGAACTTTTAGAGTTATATTATCACAATATTAACCAAATGCTTTTGAGATTTCATTAAATCATAAACATGATGCCCAACAACACCCAAATATTTTAGTGTGTGTCTTATGAACAAGGACATGCTCCAACATCACCATAGTACAACCACGGAAATCAAGAAATTAACATGACTCACTACTGCCATCTACCCCGTACACTCTAAGTTCTGCCAATTTTACCCAGATGTCTTTTTCTTTTTTTGAGACAGAGTTTCGCTCTTCTTGCCTGGGCTGGAGTGCAATGGCGTGATCTTGGCTCACCGCAACTTCTGCCTCCCGGGTTCAAGCGATTCTCCTGCCTCAGCCTCCTGAGTAGCTGGAATTACAGGCACGCGCCACCATGCCCAGCTAATTTTTGTATTTTTAGTAGAGACGGAGTTTCATCATGTTGGTCAGGCTGGTCTCAAACTCCCGACCTCAGGTGATCTGCCCACCTTGGCCTCCCAAAGTGCTGAGATTACAGGCGTGAGCCACATGCCCGGCCTACCCAGATGTCTTTTATAGCAAAAGGAATCAATCGAGGATCACAGTACATTTGGTTGTCATGCCTTTCTGGTTCCCTTCAGCCTGGAACAGTTAGTTGCATGGTTTTCCTTTGACTTTCATAATTTGAAACTTCTGAAGATTACAGGACAGTTATTTTGTCCAATTTCCCTCAATTTAGGTCTGCCAGATGTTTTTCATGACTAGATCTAGGGTATGCATCTTTAGCTGGAATGCACATTAGTGCTGCTGTGTTCATCCAGGGCAATCTATGAGGTAGCAGCTAATTTTTATTTGTCCCATTTGGTTTACTTTGATCACTTGATTAAGGGAGTGTCTTGCAAGTTACTCCCTAAAAGGGTATTTCCCCTGTTTAACTACTAGGTATTTGCATCTACTAGTTTTAGTATTCACGGATGTTTCTTGATTAAAAATTGTTACCATGATGACTGCCAAATAGTGAGTTTGTTTTTTCTTTTTTTTTGAGACAGGCTCTTGCTCTGTTGTCTGGGCTGGAGTACAGTGGCAGAATCTCAGTTCACGGCAGCCTTGACCTTCCAGGCTCAATCAATCCTCCTGCCTCAGCCTCTTGAACAGCTGGGACTACAGGTGTGCAATACCATGCCTGGGTAATTTTTGAACTTTTTTTTTTCTTTTTTTGTAGAGGCGGGGTTTTGTCATGTTGGCCAGGCTGGTATTAAACTCCTGGGCTCAAGTGATCAGCTCACCTCCCAAAGTGCTGGGATTACAGACGTGAGCTGCTGCACCTGGCCCACAGGGTGAACTTCTAATTCCAGGACTTCACTCTACATTCTACCACAAGGAAGAGCTTGACATCCAGTTGGCATCCTACCACAAGGAAGAGCTTGTGCTTCTCCCCATTTATTTATTGTACCAGTCTGGACTCAGGAATTCTTCCATTACTATTCTATTTTCATTTTTAAGGTTTCTACATTTACATTTTAAGGTTTTTATCCTTTGCTTACTTTAAAATCATCTTTATTGAGGGGTAATATAATAAAATACACCCATTTTTTAATACGTTGATGAGTTGTGACAGATGTATGTAGTCACATCACCCTACCACAATTACTTTTGTACCAATCTAATATTTCCATCAAGCCTCTTTGTGGTAAGACATACCCCCTGCTTGAGCCCTAGGCAATCACTAATTTGCTCTCACTGTGGTTTAGTTTTGCCTGTTGAAGAATTTCACATACACCGGGCGCAGTGGCTCACGCCTATAATCCCAGCACTTTGGGAGGCTGAGGTGGGCAGATCACCTGAGGTCAGGAGTTCAATCCCAGCCTGGCCAACATGGTGAATCCCTGTCTCTACTAAAAACACAAAAAATTAGCTAGGTGTGAGGCATGTACCTGTAGACACAGCTACTCAGGAGGCTGAGGCAGGAGAATTGCTTGAACCTGGGGGGTGGAGGCTGTAGTGAGCCAAGAGTGCGCCATTGCACTCCAGGCTGGGTGACAAAGTTTCCAAAAAAAAAAAAAAGAATTTCACATAAACAGAATTAGACAGCATGTAGTCTTTTGTGCCTAGCTGCTTCTGCTTGGCATAATGTTTTTCTAGATTCAGTTTTGTTCTTTATCAGTTGTTACCTTCTTTTTATTGTGGAGTAGAAGCCTACTGTAGGAATATACTGCAATTAATTCATTTATCTGATGATGGACATTTGGATTGTTATCAGTTTTTGGTCATCACAGATAAAGCTACTATGAACATTCTTTTACAAGTCTTTATGTGGACATATCATTTCATTTCTTTGGGTGTAAATTTCTAGTTGCTTAATATATTCTTTCATTTAAAATAAAAATTATTTCACAGAGACAATGTCTCCCTATATTGCCCAGGCTAGTCCTGAACTCCTGAACTTAAGCCATCCTCCTGCCTCGGCATCCCAAAGTGTTGGGATTATAGGAGTGAGCCACCATGCTTGGCCAATTTTTCCTATTTGCTTTTATTTTGTAATTTTTGGTAGAGATGGGATCTCGCGCTGTTGCCAGGCTGGTCTCAAACTCCTGGCCTTAAGTGATCCTCTAGCTTTGGCTTCCCAAAGTGCTGGGAATATAGACATGAGCCACTGTGCCCAGCAGTTGCTTAATATATTTTGTCTAGCTTTCTAGTTGTTTATGGCAAGTCTGATACCAATTAATCTTTCTTAGCCAGAAATGGAATTTTCCTCTTACTTTATTTTCAACAATTGTCCCAGATTTGGTCAGTGGGAGCCTCTTGAAGCTGTTTCTTTTGTCCTTTTGACATGTCTCCTGAATTCTTTGAGTACTGCCTTCCTTTGTGGCATAAGAATATTCCAGGTTCAGTTTGTATTCTTCCTGTCCCAGCCTGGAAAGAGCCATTTATCCAAGAAACCACGGACACTTTTAGTGGAGAATGTCATTTAGAAACCAAGATTTGGGCTGGGCACGGTGGCTCATGCCTGTAATCCCAGCACTTTGGGAGGCTGGTGGGCAGATCACTTGAGGCCAGGAGTTTGAGATCAGTCTGGCCAACATGGCTAGACCCCATCTCTACTAAAAATACAAAAAAATTAGTCAGGCATAGTAGTGCACACCTTTAGTTCCAGCTACTAGGGAGCCCGAGGTGCGAGAATCGCTTTAACCCAGGAGATAGAGGCTGCAGTGAGCCAAGATCACGCCACTACATTCCAGTCTGGGCAACACAGCGAGACTCTGTCTCAAAAAAGAAACCAAGATCTGAGTGCCAGGTATGCTCTTTCCTATTGTGGGTGGTGGTGTTCTCAAGCCCTTGTGGCTGCCTTCTTGCTTAGGCTCAGATACCTGCCATACTGACACTAATGCCCTACACGAATGTCTTCCTTGCTCAATCCTGATCAACTCAATTATTAAGAAAGGGAGAACAAGAATTAAATAAGCTCTAGATTCTGACTGACCTTGAGGAGGCCGGGAATGATCTTGCATGGAAGTGAGCCACTTGTGCACACAAAAGTCATCTGCCCCTGAATAGATGCAGTCTGGATCCAAAGGAGACCACGTCACACAAAGCAGTCGACCTCGATGTCCTCGGAAATTGCACAGGGGCTCTTCCCGGAGAGCATCCCACACCTAAACCCAAAAGCACATGGCCGAATAGACATTTTCTGGTTATTCTATTGTTTGGGGGGTATGTTTTCTAACTAAAAAACAAAAACAAACAAAAAACAATCTTCAGCCTCTTATTTCCTCACATGATTTGGAGTTTTCTCTTAGAAGTTCAATTTCAGAAGAGTACTATTTCCTGTGAGAGACTTCTGTGCTCGGAGATGTATAGACATTCCTACGGGGATGATTTTGAATGAGCTTCTACTGGTGTCCTATGGATTCCACTGTCTCGAACCAAAACCGTATGTTAACTTTTGGGCTTGAGATTTTGGTATCATGAAGAAAATAACCCACATCTAGTACAGAAATTAGAGTTCTAATTTCTCATAGATGATTCTTTTGTCTCCAATTCCTTGAGTAATTGGCCAACCTGCTTTCTATTTCTTGAATTATTCTGAACTCAGTTTCACAGAAGGGAGCCCTTTGTGGCTCTTAGCTTTGTGCTGATAGTTCAATTACAACTCAACACTGAGAGAGACAGACATCACGGGTGTTAGGTCCTCAGCTCCTAACACCTATTCTAGTTCTGATATCCAGAAGTCCTCCTCATAGATCTGGCCTGGCATTTCATCTTTACTTATTTAGAACTTGGACATTTCTGACTTAACAATTTATTATTAAAAATTGTTTTGTGATTTTTAGCCAACATTTCAGTGTCTGAACAGAAGAGAGTAGTTTGCATACATATTAGTCCACCATACTGACAGGGAGTCAGAATGAAATCTGTAAAAATGTTAGAGTTAGCTAGTTCCTACCAATACTTTCCCCTTCATCTAAGTAAAAAAACCCCAGTCTTAGCCTGCTGAAGGCCCAGCTATGTGGAATGAAAGAAACTAAAATAAAGCCAGAAAATCTCCTTCTGTAGATGATAATGGGGGAGGGAAAACCTGTTCACAACCAGGGGAAAAGACGAAAGAATTTGTTAGAGTACACAGTGAGGGACCCACAGGGACAAGGACACAATAGTACCTGGGCTGTACCATCATAGGAAGCAGACACCAGCCTTCCATCATGATGTGGGCTCCACGCCACACTGGTAATCTTGGCCGTATGCCCTGAGAGGGTGCGGTAGGGCTCCGTAATGGTCACTGGAGACTCAGGGCTGCTCTCTAAAAGGCAAGGGAGAGACATCACTGCTACTACTAATAATAACAAAAAAACAAAACAAAAAGTACATCCAGGAAGGCATTCACATGGCAAGAATCAAGATTTTGCCATACATTTTCCAGGTGATTTTTTTTTGAGATGGAGTTTCACTCTTGTTGCTCAGGCTGGAGTGCAATGGCGCAATCTTGGCTCACTGCAACCTCCGCCTCCCGGGTTCAAGCAATTCTCCTGCCTCAGCCTCCCAAGTCTAGGTGAGTTTTAGCAGGCAACATTGTTAGTTATTAAGAGTGTGGGCACATCCACAGTGCTTAGCATATAGATTACCATGAGAAGTGTTAGGTCTCATTATCACTTATAGGATATTCTAGCTAAAATGTGTAATTTGAATACAGTCATGAGAAAATACCAGACAAATGCAAAATGAGAAAGCATCTACAAAACGAGTGCCCTATCTTCCTCAAAAATGTCACGTAAGATTTTAAAAAGTCTGGCTTGGCCAGGCATGTTGGCTTACGCCTATAATCCCAGCACTTTGGGAGGCCAAGGTGGGCAAATTGCTTGAGTTCAGGAGTTTAAGACCAGCCTGCAGAAACCCTGACTCTACTAAAATACAAAAATTAACTGGGTGTGTTGGTGCACACCTATAGTCCCAGCTACGTGGGAGGCTGAGATGGGTGGATTGCTTGAGCCTGGGAGGCAGAAGTTGCAGTGAGCTGAGATCATGCCACTGAACTCCAGCCTGGGTATCAGAGTGAGACTGAAAAAAAAAGGAAAAACACAAAAACCAAAAACCAATCTAGCCAGGCATTGTGGTGTGCGCCTGTAGTACCAGCTATTCAGGAGGCTGAGGTGGGAGGATGGTTTGAGCCCAGGAGTTGGAGGCTGTCATGAGCTATAACTGCACCACTACACTCCAGCCTGAACAATACAATGACACCCAGTTTCTAAAAAATAAATACACTTTTTTTTTTTTTTTTTTGAGACGGAGTTTCACTCTTGTTTCCCAGGCTGGAGTGCAATGGTGTGATCTCAGTTCACTGCAACCTCCGCCTCCCAGGTTCAAGCCATTCTCCTGCCTCAGCCTCCTGAGTAGCTGGGATTACAGGCACGTGCCACCAGGCCCAGCTAAGTTTTGTATTTTTAGTAGAGATGGGGTTTTACCATGTTGGCCAGGCTGGTCTCGAACTCCTGACTTCAGGCGATCCACCCATCTTGGCCTCCCAAAGTGCTAGGATTATAGGCGTGAGCCACCACGCCTGGCCTAAATAATTTTTAAAAGGCTGAGAAATTATTACAGATGAAAGGAGACTAAAGAGATATGACAACAAAATGCAAATAGGTGATCTTGTGTTTGAATTTGCGCTGCAGAAAAAAAGAACCACTATTAAGGACATTATTGGATCAACTGACACAACTAGGATATGGGTGGCTGATTAAATTATTATTATTTTTTTTTAAAAGAGCTTAGGTCTTACTCTATCTATGGCCAAGGGTGGAGTACAGTGACATAGTCATAGCTAACTGCAGCCTCCAACTCCTGGGCTGAAGGGATCCTCCCACCTCAGCCTGTGAGTAACTGGGCCTATAGGTACCCATCATGTCCAGCTAATTTTTAAAACTTTTGTAGAGATGGGGTTTTGCTACATTGCTCAGGATGGTCCCGAAATCCTGGCCTCAAGTGATCATTCTGCCATGGCCTCCTAAAGTGTTTGGATTATAGGAATAAGCTACCACGTCTAGCCTAAACTATTTGTTTAAATTGACAAATAATAGGTGTATATATTTTAAGGGAAAGATGAAACTCTTGTACATTAAGTTAAACTAACTGGTAATGGGTAGGAAAAACTATATACACACACGCACACAGAATAAAGCCAATATGATAACACATCAAAAATTGTTGCATCTATTAATAGGAAAAAATATGACATTTCTTTGTACAATTTTTGTAACTTTCCTCTAAGTCTAAATTATTTCAAAATAAGAAGGTAAAAATTAAATGAAATGGATTCTGCCAGTTTTCTTCCTTTCTCTATTATTTAGTAGATATGATACGAAGTAGATGATTAATTTAGAATCCCAATAATAGTCGTAAGGACCAGAATCAGCTTTCTAACCTAAGTTCATTAGTTATATACTGTCACTATTTATTACTAGGAAAATACATCTACATTTTAATACATTTTCCATATGGCTTTTAACTCAGTAGAGTCACTACTAGAACCAAAAATATTTTTTCTTGTTACATATAGGATTCTTTGAAAACTACTGAAGTAAATTCTAGAGAAATAAAAAACGTAACTATTTTCACTATGGCTGAGAGCACATATTTTCTAGCACTCTGAAAACAGTTTAGTGTCAGATTATAATTTCTTCATATTAGAAAAAAAAGTAATCCCATTTCACTCATATTTAAAAATGGCTCTTATGACCACCTACTATGGTTTTCCCAGGCGCCGAAGGGGCCTCAATGAAACTTAAGATTCCTTATGGAATAAATCATACCCATATGAAGATTAACTCATTATAGGCCAGGCGCAGTGGCTCACGCCTGTAGTCCCAGCACTTTGGGAGGCCAAGGCGGGCAGATCACATGAGGTTGAAGTTTGAGACCAGCCTGACCAATGCGGCGAAACCCTGTCTCGACTAAAATACAAGAAGTTAGCCAGGCATGGTGGCGCGTGCCTGTAGTCCCAGCTACTTGGGAGGCTGAGGCAGGAGAATCGCTTGGACCTGAAAGGTGGAGGTTGCAGTGAGCCGACATTGTCCCACTGTACTTCAGCCTGGTGACAGAGCAAGACTCCATCTCAAAAAAAAAAAAAAAGAAAAGAAAGTTAACTCATTAAGCATGGAATAGTACTTGCTAGAACACATACAGACACTGCAATTAGACACTCTAAAGTTGAAACTAGGCTCTATCATACATTAGCGATGATACTTGCTCGAATAAGTTAGTTAACCTTTCTGGGCCTCAGTTTAATCACTGGGAAATGAGGATAACATTACCTATCACCCTCACAGGATTTTAAGAATCAGGTGCAATCAAACACGGGAATGAAGAATATGTCCTGTGTTTGTGTGTAACACTCAAAAACTGCTGGAGGAAGTATTAAATGGCATAATGTTTTTGGAGAGCTGCTTAACAATAACTATAAAAAACTACATTCTTTTACCTAGCAATTCCACTTCTAGAATTTTCTGTACGAAAATGATTCAACCATGTTCATGAAAATATATGTATAAAGCAGTTTATTGTAATAGTACTTAAATTGTAAAAATAAATAAATAAATAATTTGACGGTCATTCAATTGTGGAATGGATAAATTATGGTATGCCCATATAATGGAATGAACAGATAATTTTTTTTTTTAATTTTTATTTTTTGTATAGATGGGGTCTCACTACATTGCCCAGGCTGGTTTCAAACTCCTGGTCTCAAACTATCCTTCCACTATGGCCTTCCAAAGTACTAGGATTACAGGCATGAGCTACCGTGCCTGGCCAACAGATGTTTGTTAATAACAGCAAAATAGATCCTTATATACTGACATAAAAAGATGTCCATGATAAATATTATAAATTTAGAGAAAAAAACTGCAAGCAGTATATATTATATATAGTAATTTTTTTTAGCTAGGAACAAAGATTATTCTTTCACACAAGTACACAGGAGGGCAAACCTATTAACATATACTAATGTATATACATATGTAGGCTATGACTTTATAAAATCTAGAGAAAATATGCAGCAAACTAGTAACAATGGTTATTGAATAAGATTTTATCTTATAATTTTTTTAACTTCATTTTTTTTCTTTCTTTTTTGAGATAGGGTGTGCTCTGTCACCCAGGCTAGGGTGCAGTGGCACAAATATAGGTCACTGCAGCCTCAAACTCCTGGGATCAAATGATTCTCCCAGCTCAGCCTCCCAAGTAGCTGGGACTACAGGCGTGCACCTCTAACCTGGCAAATTTGTTTTTTATTTTTAATTTTCTGTAGAGACAGAGCCTCACTGTTTAACAGGCTGGTCTCAAAATCCTGGCCACAAGTAATCTCGCTGTGGCCTCCCAAAGTGCTGGGATTACAGGTGTGAGCAACTATGCCTGGCCAACTTCAGCTTCTGTTACCAGTTTTGTCATGTTTGAAAGAATTTTAAAATAAGATGAATCTATTACTTTTGAAACAGAAAACGTAGTAAAAATAATATTTATTATAATGTCAAAAATAAAGTAAAAAGTGACAAAGATTAGAATGGAAAGTAGCTGAACAAACGGTATCATCCCCAGTATGAAAGAAACCAAAGTTACCTATGACAGTCTTCAGGTTGTGCACATAAATGACTGCATTGTTGGAGCCAGAGGCCATCAGATAGCTCAGCTCTGGCTGGCTGCCATGCTCATGATGCCAGCTAATGGTATTCACAAGCTTGTGATGTTGTTGGATAGTACAGATCAGTTTCAGGTTGGGAACCTGAAATATTTCTATTGATCTGGAATAAGAAACACATCAAAACAAGAAAGATGGATGATCAAATTACAAGTTACAGTGCAAACAGTAGCTCCCTCATTCCATCAGTCAAGGAAAGATGAGGTAGAAAAGGATAACCCTTTCTATTACTGCAAAGATCATTCTCTCATAAAAAATCAAGTATAAAAAGTTATTCTCCAAAAAGTATAATCAGCTTTTAAAAATTCTAGCAATATCCTAACAATTCTTTTCTTAAAAAAATTAATTTTTGGCTGGGCGCGGTGGCTCACGACTGTAATCCCAGCACTTTGGGAGGCTGAGGTGGGCGGATCATGAGGTCAGGAGATCGAGACCAACTTGGCTAACACGGTGAAACCCCATCTCTACTAAAAATACAAAAAAATTTGCCAGGCAGGTGGCGGGCACCTGTAGTCCCAGTTACTTGGGAGGTTGAGGCAGGAGAATGGCATGAACCCAGGAGGCAGAGCTTGCAGCAAGCCGAGATCGCGCCACTGCACTCCAGCCTGGGTGACAGAGCGAGACTCCCTCTCAAAAAAAAAGAAAAAACTAATTAAAAAAAATTTTAACTTTCCACACTACCTCAGTGTAACAATCTCCTAGCATTCTAACGATGCTTGATAAAATTGTGTTCATCAGGCCTTCATGACAAATGATGATACGGAGAAGCTAAAAGAATTAACAGATCAATGGCTGAATTAGGACTGTTACTATGATTAACACTGGTCAGGACACAGACCTAAAAAGCATTTCTGACTAGGCTTACTTTAAACAAATGGAGTGAGATTTAGGCAGTTCAACACAGGAGGTGACCGTTTTGTGAGGCACAAGACAGCCAAAATACAGTGTAGTCAAATACTCTCAATGGATCTAAAATATCTAAATAATTCTGTAGTTCTCAAAGACACAGGGCACTCCCAGATCAGCAGAGGATATCAAGAATAAACCAAAATACCAAATACAACTGGGCCTCCCCAGCTAATGTTACAGACGGTATTAGTCAGCTTGTGATCAAATATATGTGCAATCACAAATTTTTGTATCTTAAAGAAGCAAATACATACCCATCTTCATTGCCAAGAGCCATGATTTTGCCATCTGCTTTCCAACTTATCTCTGTGTGTACAGGCAATTTGTACTAGAAAGCAGAACAAACCAATCTTGATTATAAACATATCTCACAAATCAACAATGACAGCATGAGAAAAAAAAAAAACCCTAGAGTTTAAAAACGTTTTAATTATACAACAGCTATTCTTGTAAATAATCTACATAATTAGTCAAAGGATTACTAAGAACACGCATTCTAATTCTCATTTCCTAACTGGGTCAAAAAAACAAAACAAAACAAAACAAAAAACCCCCAAGGCCAATAAGTACTAAATGTTTACAATGCTTAACCTTGTGAAATATATACTTAATTAAACTGATCTGTGCCCATCAGCTTTGACAACATGGGGACCATGGGTCCTTAAAGAAAGCTATATAGACTCTCCTTGTTTTCTATCCCTTCAAAGCTTCTTTCCCTGAATCATTTCCCTCACATATCTATATGCTGGTGTTCCCCAAGGCTGCCTGGGCCTTCTTCTCTTGTTAATTGTCTCTTTAGCCCACTCATACATGCCCACAGCTTCTTTATCTATCATTACTGTGAAGGGATTCCAAATTTCTATTTCCAGTTCAGACTCCTAGTATGAACTTCTGATCCACACATTCAAGTGTTAATAAACTAAAAGTCTTAGGAACAGGAATTTTGTCTCTTTTATTCATTGCTGAATGTTAATGTTTAGATAAAATTAAAGACAATGAGGGAATATAATAGACATTTCAATTTATAACTAAATGTTAGTTTTATACTAGCCATAAAAGTAATGAGCAACAATATAAAAATGCTCACTGGGGCTGGGCATCGTGGCTCATGCCTATAATCCCAGCACTTTGGGAGGCCAAGGTGGGTGGATCACTTGAGGCCAGGAGTCCGAGACCAGAGCCTGGTCAACATGGTGAAATCCTGTCTCTACTAAAGACACAAAAATTAGCCAGGCTTGGCACGTGCTTGTAATCCCAACTACTCAGGTGGTTGAGACATGAGAATCACGTAAATCCGGGAGGTGGAGGCTGCAGTGAGCCAAGATCGCGTCACCGCACTCCAGCCTGAGTGACAGAACGAGGCTCTGTCTCAAAAAATAAATAAGTAAATAAATAAATAAAAATACTCATTTGAAAGGGGTAAGGAGGCCAAGGCAGGTGGATCACTTGAGCTCAGAAGTTCAAAACCAGCCTGGCCAACATGGTGTAACCCCATCTCTACTTAAAAATACAAAAATTAGCTGGGCATGGTGGCCTATGCCTGCAGTCCCAGATACTTGGGAGGCTGAGGCAGGACAATCTCATGAACCTAGGAGGCCGGAGGTCGCAGTGAGCCGAGATCATGCCACTGCACTCCAGCCTAAGCGACAGAGCGAGACTCTGTCTCAAAAAAAAAAAAAAAAAGAAAAGAAAGGGTAAGGAAATCTCAACATTTAAGGTATGACTTTAAAAGACAGTTCTGGCACATATTGACAGAATGATAATGCAAATGTAATTAAACATGGGAATCTGGATAAAGGATATAAGCAACTTATGTGTATTATTTTCATAGCTTTGTGTAAATCTAAAATCATTTTACCAGAAAATTAAAAACAAAATGACAATTTTGTCTTGAGTAAAACACCACGCAGTTGCATTTGGACACTATATTAATGTTATTTTTACCATGGCATCACTTTGGTGAAAGTAGTTGGCCTGAAAAGGATGCTTTATACCTAACACCTGAAAGTTTATAATAAATCATTGTTGCAATTGAGACAAACCTTTTTTGTTTCCGTGGTTGTTTTTTTTTTTTGCCTCATACTCACTGTCTGAGAGGTACTTCCTTGTTTTATTCAAGGATAAAGACTCCTAAGATACATAACTCACAAATTCACGCACAGCCTTATAAGAATATTTAAGAAATCTGACTTACTATGATGATGGTAATCTCTAATATCATTTATTCTGCAGGATGGGAAACCCAGAGGGATCTGTGATGTAGAAAGAAAAGACTTTAGGACCACAAGAACTCACTTTGATTGAATTGGTGTCCCTGATGAGTTTGTTGATGTCAAAGGCTTCTCCACTAAGCTTCCAGGGGTTATGCTGTAAGACAATCCCTTCTCCTCCACAGCTGTATAAAGCAAGGGAAGGTCTGTCTCCTTCTCCTGTATGAAATAAGAAAAGAAACGTACCAGTTTTGTACTTCACCAGCTTAACTATTTGTTGCTGTAGTGTGACTATATCATACTATATAGTTGTTTCAAAAGAACTATATATTTGAAACATTCTAATACACTGGAATAAAATCACTGTTCTTTCCATCTGAACACAGTTGTTGGGAGCAAGTAAAAAAACTATACTACTATAATTCTAGGTTAATTTATGTGATGCAACATATCTGCTTTAAACATTCTTCTGGTATTCATAATAATAGGGGTCCAAAAGCTGGGATCAGAAAACAAACATATATGTTCTCAAAGCAAGGCTTCTGAGAATTTGCTTTTTCTTCCAGAAATGAGTACTCTTTGGGAATTATATAGCACAGTAGGACTTTCTATGTCTTATAACAATGAGATGTCATCAAAGCAGTGATTTCCTTAGTATCACAGCAATCCTCTTAATTTTTAACAAGCAGTGATTCTGGTGGGTTTCTGTAAGTGCAAGTTTTACTTTTACCACCGGTAGATCACAAATCAAATATCCAGTAAACATTTGTTGAATAAATGAACTACAAATTCTAATGCTACTTGAGTTATGATAAATCTACTTATCCTCTCTATGTAATGCAATTCCTATAGACATTTACAGATGTTTCATCATAGATGGTTAAGAAAAGTTTATCAGAGACTTTTGATGAATACACTCATTTAAAAAGCTAAAAGAAAAGACTCATTATTTTAGGAATAAGAAATAGAAAGACAAGGCTTAGGGGCTAGAAGAGGGAAAGGAGTAGAATGCTGAATTAAAGGCAAGAGATCATTTCAGAAACTCTAAGTTTGCTTTTCCTGTGGGTGAAAACAGATATTATTCCATTAATATACTGAAGTATCGTTCTAATTCTGATAAAATTAAAAAGTGACAGTAAGTTTTAGTGAAGAATATTAGACTGCGTATCAGGATCCAGCATGATAACTACACACACAGTGAAAAAGTTCCGATCAAATAGAGGAAACAATGCTTGAGTGAGCTTGGGGAAGCTTCTTACGGGTAAATGGTTTCTCCCAGGAACTGTGATTTATCGTCTGCCACTACTGTCTTCATGAACCCCTGGGGACATAAGCAGCCCACAAAAGCAGTCAGTGCACTAGACCGTTTATGACTCTTTCCATCTTTAATATTTTAAGATTAAACTGAAGGAAGAATACTCTCATATTTGTTACGGAATTGCTCAGACACTTACCAAGTGACATGGGGGGTACTGGTGGCCCCCAGGCTAAAGTATATACAGTCTTCTTATGATATGTGCTAGAAATCTGTGGAGGCCTTTAGAAGAGCGGGGAGAGAGAACAAACGGAGATTTAAACAAAAAGGCATAGTGAAAAACAGAACATCTTCTTCTAAAAGGTCCCCCTTATAAACGTAACTACTAATAATTGGAGAAAAATAATTCAACAATATCTTGCTCCAAATGTAAAGTAATTAATTATAAGATTTACATTTAAATTATATTTAAATGTCAAATAATGATATTTACTACCAAAACGATTAAGTCCCAAACATATCTTACCCCCGCAAAAAATGTTACTCCTACCCATCTAGCCAGAACATATATTATCAACACCCGAATGTATTCACTTTACAGTCATATAAAAGATGACAAGTCATTTTAGACTTACTCTGTGCCATTAACATTTCTTAAACTGAGACAAGATTTCAGGGTAGAGAGATTTTCAGTTTGTGATTGTCTTTTAAAGAAGGCATACTCCTAAGAGTATTTTCGAAGGCTGTTGTGGTAATAGTATGTGATGTGTCAGTAGAGAATGCTTAACTTTGTAGGAAAAAACCAGGCAGTACTGTTATTTCTTTTACCATAAATTATCATACATTCTTTGTATGATTTTAGAATTCCAGAGCCTATGAATAATTAGTAGCTGACTTACTTCCATTAATCTGACAAATTTATAGTAATCATGCTAAAAAATAAATCAAAATTTCTAAAAGAAATTTATATTTTATAAACAGGCTAATTTATACTGTAGCATATTTCTTTTCTTTTTTTGAGACAGAGTCTCGCTCTGTCTCCCAGGCTGGAGTGCAGTGGCGTGATCTCCGCTCACTGCAAGCTCCGCCTCTCGGGTTCACGCCATTCTCCTGCTTCAGTCTCCGGAGTAGCTGGGACTACAGGCACCTGCCACCACGCCTGGATAATTTTTTGTATTTTTAGTGGAGATGGGGTTTCACAGTGTTCCCCAGGATGGTCTCGATCTCCTGACCTCGTGATCCGCCTGCCTCGGCCTCCCAAAGTGCTGGGATTACAGGCGTGAGCCAACGTGCCAGGCCTTAAAATAATGTTTTATTTGAGAGTTAAAAAAGGAAAATAGTCAACTGCATGTAGGTTCTACACGAGTACTTGGAGAACTGCATATAAAAAGGACAGCTCTGGCCAGGCACAGTGGCTCACATCTGTAATCCCAGCACTTTCGGAAGCTGAGGTGGGCGGATCACGAGGTCAGGAGATCGAGACCATCCTGGTGAACACTGTGAAACCCCATCTCTACTACAAATACAAAAAATTAGCTGGGTGTGGTGGCAGGTGCCTGTAGTCCCAGCTACTCCGGAGACTGAGGCAGGAGAATTGCTTGGACCCGGAAGGTGGAGGTTTTGGTGAGCTGAGATCGCACCACTGTACTCCAGCCTGGGCAACAAGTGTGAAACTCCGTCTCAAGAAAAAAAAAAAAAACGGACAGCTCTGCAGTAAATGATTTTCACTCAGAAATGAATGATCTAAGACAGAGGCTGGCCAACCTTTTCTGTAAATATTTCAGGCTTTGTTAGCCATGTGGTCCCTGCCACAACTACTCCACTCCGCTGTGGTAGTATGAAAGCAGCCAGACAGAACGTAAACAAAGGAGTGTGGCCATGTCACAATAAAATTTTACTTACAGCCACTGAAATCTGATTTATTTACTCTTCATATGTCATAAAATATTCTTTTGATATTTCTTTTTTTTTTTTTTTTTTTTTGAGACGGAGTCTTGCTCTGTCACCCAGGCTGGAGTGCAGTGGCCGGATCTCAGCTCACTGCAAGCTCCGCCTCCCGGGTTCACGCCATTCTCCTGCCTCAGCCTCCCGAGTAGTTGGGACTACAGGCTCCCGCCACCTCGCCCGGCTAGTTTTTTGTATTTTTTAGTAGAGACGGGGTTTCACCGTGTTAACCAGGATGGTCTCGATCTCCCAACCTCGTGATCCACCCGTCTCGGCCTCCCAAAGTGCTGGGATTACAGGCTTGAGCCACCGCGCCCGGCCTCTTTTGATATTTCTCCAGCCACTTAAAAAGGTAAAACCATTCTTAATTCATGGACCATGGTTCACCAACGCCTGGTCTAGAACAGTGTTGTCCAATAAGGTAGCCATTAGTCACAGATGCCTCTTGTGCATTTAAAATGGGGGGACTGAGGAACTGAATTCCTATTTCAATTACTTTAAGTATAAATAGCCACATGTGGCTACTGTCAGGCCTCTGAGCCCAAGCTAAGCCATCATATCCCCAGTAACCTGCACGTACACGTCCAGATGGCCTGAAGCAACTGAAGATCCACAGAAGTGAAAATAGCTTAACTGATGACATTCCACCATTGTGATTTGTTTCTACCCCACCCTAACTGATCAATGTTCTTTATTTTATTTTATTTTAGTTTTTTGAGACGGAGTTTTGCTTTTGTTGCCCAGGCTGGAGTGCAATGGAGCGATGTCGGCTCACTGCAACCTCTGCCTCCCGGAATTCAGGCGATTCTCCTGCCTCAGCCTTCCTGAGTAGCTGGGATTACAGGCATGTGCCACCATGCCAGCTAATTTTGTATTTTTAGTAGAGACGGGGTTTCTCCATCTTGGTCAGGCTGGTCTCGAACTTTAGACCTCGGATGATCTGCCCGCCTCAGCCTCCCAAAGTGCTGGGATTATAGGCGTGAGCCACCGTGCCTGGCCCAATGTTCTTTATAATCTCCCCCACCCTTAAGAAGTTTGTTTGTAATTCTGCCTGCCCTTGAGAATGTACTTTGTGAGATCCACCCCCTGCCCCCAAAACATTGCTCTTAACTCCACCGCCTATCCCAAAACCTGTAAGAACTCATGATAATCCCACCACCTTTGCTGACTTCTTTTCGGACTCAGCCCACCTGCAACCAGGTGAAATAAACAGCCACGATGCTCACACAAAGCCTGTTTGGTCATCTCTTCACACGGACATGTGAAACAGCTACCAAACTGAACAACACAGGTTTGGATTCTAATCAAGCCTCTAGAGCAGCAGTGTACAAAAATAAACAATGTAAGCCACAAATATGAACGGTATATGTAACCTAAAGTTTTCTAGTAGCCATATTTAAAAAAAGCAAAAAAAAAAAGAAATTTTAATAATGTATTTTATTTAACTCAGCAGACTCAAAATATTATTTAAAATGTAATAAAAAATAAAATAATTATTAAGAGACTTTTAACTTTTTTCAAATATTAAGATTCAGAACTCCGGTGTACTTTACACTTATAGCACATCTCGGTTTGGACTTGGCACCTTTCAAGTGCTCTGTAATCACCTGTGGTTAATGACTGCTGTAGTGGACAATGTAGCTATACACATAACTTCTAGTTCATACGAAATATAGGGAACAGGGAAATGAGTTAGAAGCTACCACAAGGAGATAACTAACAAGTGCAAAATGTGGAATAGTTTACCAAACAACTGATTTGTAGTCTTCAAATTGAAAAGGCAATGCTATGAAAAGGAAACTGAGGGATTATTCTTGAGCAGGGGTGTCCAATCTTTTGGCTCCCCTGGGCCACAATGGAAGAAGAATCACCCATTTCTTACTTGTTGGAGTAGGTGTCATACAATCCCACTTTTCCATCATCAGTTCCAAAAGCTAAGCAACCTTCCTTGGTTGGGTGCCAGCACAGCTACAAAAAAAGAGTTCCCAAGTGAGAATATAAGAAATGGGGCATATAGTTAAAGGAATCCTTACATTATCCTTTAAGTATCCAAAGAGAAAACTTTCTTGCTCTGATTTCTTCATTATTTAAAGGAGAAAAAGGTTATTAAAAACAAAGTCAATGTCATCTGTAATCTTTCATCCAAAAAACCGACTGCAGATCTTGTATCTCTCTTTCCAGATATTTTTGTGAATAAGCTTATACACAATTGAAAAAACCAAATGAGTTCAAATACATAAATGATGTGCATTATACACTGTCGAGTGGGAATACAAGATTCCGGAAGAATTTAGAAAATACAGTTCTATTAATATTAAATAGTTTACAAAATTTGAAAAGATAGATCATAAACTGTCCACAGTAGTTTTCTGGATTATTCAAGTAGGGGACTGGAGTGGAGGGTAAAGTAGGAAAAAAATGTTTCCTTTCTCCATTTTTGTGTTGTTTGATTTTCTTTTTAAACCATAGAAGTTTATTACCTTTAGATTCAGTAGCCAAAAGAAAGGTATCATTTTAGAGAAAACCAAAAAAACTACACATACCGTTTTGTAACCTGCTTTCCATGTTTTATAATAGACATTTTTCATAAATCATTTATATACCTTTCCATATCAAGGAAGAAAGAATCTACATTATCATTTTCAATAATTTGATGCCATTCCAACATGTGGTTATCTTATAACTTAATGTGTTTTCTATGAATATACAGTCAGGCTATTTCTAACTTCTTACTATGAGAAAAAATGCTGAGATGAAAAGTCTTAATAAATTTAAACTCTGGAGGATAATGGGTTTGGTTACAGGATCCTTTTGCTTTCCTAGTTTCAAACTTCACTCAACGTACTTTAAAACTTTTGATTACCAACAGAGCTCATTTAAATGAACAGGCATAAAAGAGAATTATTTGAAAAAAAAAAAGTTCAAAACAAGCTCAAAAAAATCCTTACCGCTGTAACCTTGGACTTGACACCTTGCCAAAAATGTTTCACATCATAGTTGTTCTTTATGGAGAGTGTATTCCATACACGGATCATGCCATCCCCAACACCTATGGCCAAAGAGCCTACGTCCACAGAAGAGAAAGCCAGGCTGTATGCAAACCCACCAAGGGAAGGCAGGGTCCAACAGCACTCCAGGGTGGCCATGTCCCAGCATTTTACCTGCAAAGATTAATGGTAAGGGCCTAAACATAAAAAAGAACAGAGAAACAAGGAAAAAAAAATCTGATATGTGAAATGGGATAGGCTCAAAGAATGGGTAAGGATAACGTATGTCTTCCAGTAGGAATCGAAGAAAGCACTGCTAAGAAAAAAAAGTTAGTAATAAATTATGTTGCTTACAGGGATCTTAAAATACATTTATTTCCAAAGATGTCAAGTGAATTCAGGGTTACACAATTAATAAACCAGAACCCACACCTCCTGTCTCCAACTTCGGGGGTCTTTCTGTCCTACTATAGCACTGGTAACCTCCTCATTTGGCAAACTCTAAGAAGATGGCCTCAGCACAGTGGAAAAATCAAAGAACTGCTCTCTCAAAAGGCAAAACACCTTATCATACCCCGGGAAGGAGGTGCGGTAAGTTTTTAATCATCACTTGATGATTAAAAAGAGACAGGTTTGGAAGAAAACGAAGTCTACCAAATAAGCCCAGTTTAACTGCAAAACAGTAAGGTAACAGGCTTTCAACTAAAGTCAATAGTCTCTGAAAGATTTCTATTCTGCTAAACTACAAACCAGGATAAACCATAGCATGAGGACCTAACACAGGGGTGTCGAATCTTTTGGCTTCCTGGGGCCACAGTGGAAGCAGAATTGTCTTGGGCCACACATAAAATACACTAAAACTAGGCTGGGCATGTGGTTCATGCCTGTAATCCCAGCACTCTGGGAGGCTGAGGCAGGGGGATCATGAGGTCAGGAGATCGAGGCCATCCTGGCGAACACAGTGAAACCCTGTCTCTACTAAAAACACACACACAAAAAAGTTAGCCGGGCGCAGGTGGGCACGCCTGTAGTCCCAGCTACTTGGGAGGCTTAGGCAGGAGAATGGCGTGAACCCAGGAGGTGGAGCTTGCAGTGAGCTGAGATCGCACCACTGCACTCCAGCCTGGGAGACAGAGCGAGACTCCGTCTCAAAAAAAAAAAAAAAAAAAAAAAAAGAAAAAACCCCACTAACAACAGCTGATGAGCTTAAAACCATCCTGAGCCATGGGTTGGACAAGCTTGACCTAATATATCCTTCCCTGGGCAAAACTACCCTTCTTTATCATGTCTGCTTTAACAAAAAACCATTTTGATGGGTCTTCACATTCTCCCTACATGTGAGCTATTGATATATTCAGTGCTGATCTGTAGCAGTAACTCTGAAATTGGAGTCAGGGGTGGGGTATTATGACTTGACAGGTGCTTTGAAAAAGCCCTCTAATCCCATCCAAGTTGTAAACTGCTGCTCTACAATGCTGAGTGAAAATAAGCAGCTCTTACATCTCTATCCATTGATGTGGAAAGTAATAGCTGTTTGTCATCCTCTGTTTGTAAAGGACATAAATTAAACACAATTCTTGAATGATTTTGCCCTTCTGATGAGGCACTGAAGAGGGTGTATTTCCGTCTCCAAGATTGAGTGAGATCCCATTGCAACAGTTCACCTCTGTGAAGGAAAAACATAAGCATTAGTTCTTTTACAAACAATCTGAAAACAAGTGACTGCTGAGTCACAGAGTCTAGGCTCATAGCTGCAAAATGATTTGTCTTTTAAGGAGAGAAAAATTGCATATTCTGAAAATACGCACAAAATATCTCTGGGAAGGCTGGGTGCAGTAGCTCACATCTGTAATCTCAGCACTCTGGGAGGCTGAGGCAGGAGGATAGCTTAGAGCCCAGATCTCAAGAACAGCCTAGGCAACAAAGTGAGACTGCCTCTACAAACAATTAAAAAATTAGTTGGGCATGGTGGTGCACACCTATGGTCCCAGTTACTTGGGAGGCTGAGGTGGGAGAATTGCTTGAGCCCAGGAGGTTGAGGCTGCAGTGAGCTGTGTTTGCATCACTGCATTCAAGCCTGGGTAACAGAGCAAGACCCTGTTTAAAAAAAAAAAAAAATTTGAGCCACAGAAAGGGGAACCAAGTAGCCAGGGAAGACAGGACAGTTTATTATATAATTTCATTCTTCTTGAACCATGTGAGTATACTGGACTACCCTTTAAACAGATTTATCTCCAGTCACTAGAAGTAGGTAGTCAATGAACTCTGTTTACTGAATGGGCATAGCCATCCAACCTAAGAGAAAATATTATAACCATCTCCCCTTTCTACACATGAAGTGACTGAAGCTCAGAAAAGTAAAGGGTCTTGCTCATGAATACAAGGCAGTAAGTGACAAAGTGATTCTGAAATTTACTTCTGACTTCAGAGTCCATATTCCTAACTGCCAGACTATACTTATTTGATCTTTTTACAGCTCTGTTAGTAGACAGCACAAGCATCAGTCTCACAATTTTTCCATTTCAAATGGGGTCCATCATAATACAAGCCTTGGCCATTATTTTCTCCATCTACAAAGAGAAACCTAGGAGTCCTTGAGGCCAAATAGAAAAACAAAACATATCTAAGAAAGCATGACCATAAAAGACTTACCCAAAACAGCTAGATACCAGCTGTGTTGGCTGATTGCTGGGCCAATGGAGTGTCAACCAAAGGCGCTCTTTAACAGTTGGGTCTATACCCCCTCCTCTTCTCTTCAGAAAGGGCAATTTCAAAATCATCACCCCTGCAGATTAAAAGGAAGGCCAATGGGCACTCAAGACAGTGAAATTACATGCATGACATTGCTGGCAGTTCACAATACACAGTCTGAGCTGTAAAAGCTTGTTAGTTTGGTTACTTAGAATTCAGATCTCGTTTTCCAATGGTTACAATTATAACCATTATAATGGTTATATTTTTAACCACTATAAATAGTGGTTAATACTAGTCTAGCTACATTTAGGTCAAATAAGCTTCCATAAGCTATCTTGACAACCTCAACACATTAAGAGTATATTTTCTTTTTTTTGGCCAGGCGCGGTGGCTCATGCCTGTAATCCCAGCACTTTGGGAGGCTGAGGCGAGCAGATCATGAAATCAGGAGATCGAGTGGATGAGTGGGTATGCAAAATGTGGGACATACATACAATGGATTATTATTCAGCCTTAGAAAGGAAGGATATGCTGACGTACGGTACAACATCAACGAACCTCAGGGATATATGCTAAGTGAAATAAGCCAATCACAAAAAGACGTATCATATGTCTAATTTCACTCAAAGAAAATACTCAAGAGTAGTCAAAATCATAGAGCAGAAAGCAGAATGATGGTTGCCAGGGCCCGGGGGAGAGGAGAATGGAGAGTAGAATTCTGGAGACAGGTGGTTGTGACAGTTGCACAACTTTAGGGTATACTTAATACCACTTAAATGTACACTTAAAAGTGATAAAAATGGCAAATATTGTATTTTCCACCACAGCTTAAAAAACTGCGAGAAAAAAAAATAAAATGGAGAAGCCCGCTAGAAAGAGAAAAGCAAGATTTTTACTAAAAGGTTATATTCCCTAATATATTATAAATATTAATTATGCCTAGAGTTTCTCTTAATTTTTAAACTTAACGAGAAAAGTTCTGTTCAAAGAGAAATTTGGGAACGCTAAATGATTGAGGGGCTCTATAATTTGGATAAAATGAGCTTTCACACATAATTCCAGGCTGGGTGTATGTTATTCTGCATTTGTGCATTAAAAGCTCTAACTCTTGAGATCTTTTCCATTCTCCTGGCCTAGGCCATATCATGTTCTAATATTCCCATTTTTATTACAAATATTCTGCTCTCCATGCCAAATAGTGACCCTTTCTATAAACCAAGAGGTCCTTGTTTTCTTCTGGAATGCATGAGAAATACTCATTCTAAGGCCAGATGTTGAGAGAATAGACAGTTCTAGCCCAGGGTCAAATGAGGAAGCAGAATTCTAGACCGAAAAGTGAAGAACTGCTCTCAGATAGATGACACACCCACAGGACAATAAGACAGAACAAAAAACCCTCTACTTCCACCAGATCAACACAGGTTACATCACAAAAGAAAGATCAATCTTACCTCGGCCTCTAGAACAGTTCCAGATTCGAATGGTTTGATCTTTGCTTCCAGTGGCTAAGTAGCAGCCTTTTGTTACTGGAGCTTGTGCCACAGCATTCCCATTGGTAATTTCAGCTTCTTCTATGAGATAGGTAGCAATTTTGCTTTTAATTTGCATTAAACACGCACTAATATAAAACAATTAGTTTGCAAGAGTTCCCAGAACTTAGCTATCTCTTTCATAGGTCTGAACTGTAAAATTTGAAGTTTTATGTATAATTAAAATGATATAATTCAGCCGGGCACAGTGGCTCATGCCTGTAATCCCAGCACTTTGGGAGGCTGAGGCAGGTGGATCACCTAAGGTCGGGAGTTCAAGACCAGTCTGACCAACATGGAGAAACCTGTCTCTACTGAAAATACAAGATTAGCTGGGCATGGTGGCGCATGCCTGTAATTCCAGCTACTTGGGAGGCTGAGGCAGGAGAATCGCTTGAACCTGGGAGGCGGAGGTTGCGGTGAGCTGAGATCGCGCTCCAGCCTAGGCAACAAGAGCGAAACTCTGTCTCCAAAAATAAATAAATAAATAAATAAATAAGCGATAAAATGATATAATTGTACCCACTCTGTTCTTCAGGCCTCAAGAGTACTGAACCTTCCCTTAAACCATCTGTACCTGAAGTTTCCTCTTGGTTTATAGATAAACAATCTTCACCAGGCAGGGGACACCAGGCTATGGAGTGGATTTCATCATCATGGCCTCGAAGCCTATGAATAACTTCTCCTTTCTTACTGATGTCAATTATCACCACTATGCCATCCTTGTAGCTAAAAAACAAGAGTTAGAAATATTACTAAAAAAATGAAGACAGAACAGAGTCTCTAGCAAACATTTTGGCTTAGAGTTACCATTGGCGCATTCCTTAAAGTTAGGTGCATTTGGGGTGGCGGAGGAGGGAAGAGGACAAAAAATAATTTTGTTTTTTCCTTTTTTTAAATGTGCTCACCTTATGTCTCCTGGTTTTGTTAAAACCCTTCTCTCTAGGATCAAACTCTTAGCACTAGGTAATTCTATGTACGTTGCCTGGTACAAAGCTCACAGTGGACCATGATTTTGTTCTAAGGGAACTTTCATAGTTTTTGCAAGTGTCCAGCAACTCTTCTTTTTTTTTTTTCCCCCTCTCTGTTGTCCAGGCTGGAGTGCAGTGGCACAATCACCACTTACTGCAGCCTTGACTTCCCAGGCTCAAGCAATCCTCCCCCCTCAGCCTCCCAGAGTAGCTGGGACTACAGGTGCGTGCAATGCTCAGCTAATTTTTGAATTTTTTTTGCAGAGATGGGGTTTCACCATGTTGCTCATGGCTGGTCTCGAACTCCTGGGCTCAAGTAATCTACCTGTGTTGGCCTCCCAAAGTGATGGGATTACAGGCCTGAGCCACCACACCCGGCCAACTCTTCTAATTAGAGATAATTTTGTCCTAGTGCACTGGAAAATAATCTCTTTTTTAGAAGTGACACTACTTTTTTAACTGTGAACTTAACAAAAGTTGCAGAATTCTACACTCTAGACCTGCATGTTCCAAGGCTGTCATTTTATGAACTCACAGGAAACTGAGAAACTCTAATAGCTTTTTAGAAATGAATTATTTCAGATACATAAAAAAAGTAATCTACCACCCTGCCTAACAAAAACAATTACTGATAGAGCTGAAGGCCTGTGTGCATTCCACCTCAATCAAACCTCTCTCCTTGCCCGATCTCTTCTCCTTTTCTTCCTTTACCCAGAGGTCAAACTCTATTTGTGAATTGTGTTATATCATTCCTAGCCTTTCTTTGTATGTATTCCTAAATAAGATATAGATTTTGCATATTTTAAAACTGCATATAAATGCTATCATCTGTTTTCCTGCAGCTTGTTTTTTTCACTCATTCTGTTTGTAAGTCATCCATGTTGATACAAGTAACTCTAGTTCCTGGCCAGTCATTACACTATTGTATTAGTACTGCAGTGTGTGAATATATCAAAGTTTATTCATTTTCCTTTTGAAGGGCTTCCATTTTTTACAACAAAAAAAATGCTATTAATGTTCATGTACACGTCTAACACAATTTCAGGTTTGATGCCCAGTAATAGAACTGCCAGGATGTTAAGATACATGCATCTTTATTAGAAAGTACAAAACTGCATTCTACAAAGTTGTTGTACCTATTCACACTTCCTACACGTTAGAGCATTTGACAGGGAAGAACACCAGCACAGCTTTATTTACCTTTTTTAAAAAGAAAGACATACTAGAGTATGTCAACCTTTGAAGAGCTGGACTTTGAAAACTGCCAAGTTATGCAACCTAATTGTCAACAGATCAAGCTATTTAGAAATCTGAATCAAGCTTTCTGGGAATAATAATATTTTGAAGATCCTCCCCTGACCCCTGCCTACTACCTTTCTGTTCATCCTCTCTAGCAACTCTACTGCAACGCTGCTCCCACTTCAAGAGACTGCCGATCCAGTCCACTTCCATTTTCACTATCACTATCACTCACCCACACCTGTCTTTCCATACTTCCCCCAGCCCAATGCAGCACAGATTTCATGATCCCTCACTATCATCGACTTTTTTTTTTTTCTTCTTTTTCTAAATAAGAGTCTTTGGCCGGGCGCGGTGGCTCAAGCCTGTAATCCCAGCACTTTGGGAGGCCGAGGCGGGCGGATCACAAGGTCAGGAGATCGAGACCACAGTGAAACCCCGTCTCTACTAAAAATACAAAAAATTAGCCGGGCGCGGTGGCGGGCGCCTGTAGTCCCAGCTACTCAGGAGGCTGAGGCAGGAGAATGGCATGAACCCAGGAGGCGGAGCTTGCAGTGAGCCGAGATCGCGCCACTGCACTCCAGCCTGGGCAGCAGCGTGAGACTCCGTCTCAAAAAAAAAAAAAAAAGAGTCTTGCTCTGTCGCCCAGGCTGGAGTACAGTGGCGCAATCTCGGCTCACCGCAACCTCCACCTCCCAGGTTCACACTGTTCTCCTGCCTCACCCTCCTGAGTAGCTGGGATTACAGGTGTGCACCAACACGTCTGGCTAATTTTTGTTTGTTTTTTTGGGAATGGAGTTTTGCTCCTGTTAACCAGGCTGGAATGCAATGGATCAATCCTGGCTCACCACAACCTCCGCCTCCCGGGTTGAAGCGATTCTCCTGCTTCAGCCTCCCGAGTAGCTGGGATGACAGGCATGCGCCACCACACTTAATTTTGTATTTTTAGTAGAGACGGGGTTTCTCCATGTTGGTCAGGCTGGTCTTGAAATCCCGACCACAGGCGATTTGCCTGCCTTGGCCTCCCCAAAGTGCTAGGATTACAGGCGTGCACCACCGCGCCCATTCTAATTTTTTTATTTTTAGTAGAGATGGGGTTTCACCATGTTGGCCGGGCTGGTGTTGAACTCCTGACCTCAGGTGATCCGCCTGCCTTGGCCTCCCAAAGTGCTGGGATTACAGGTGTGAGCCCCTGCACCTTATCATCGACTTTTAAAACTAGCCGTACTCCCCGTCTCCTTCTCCCTCAAGAGTACTTACTCCACAAAGCCCCAAACCTGGCTGAATCCAACCATCTCCTTTCTCAAACAGTTTGGGTTTACTTTAAATTAATGGTCATGATTCTTTGTTTGCCACTCAACAGTGAACATCGGGCCTACGATTTTCCTTAGTACATTCATTTTCCTATTCTCTTTGACCATTTTCATACCTCTTTGCATACCCAGTTTCAACCCCATGGTGAACTTGACTCTACCACTCTGACTTATGCCACACTGAGAAAATCAGAAATCCCAGAATGGAACACCTTCTTCTTCCAAAGACATCTACAAATCTACCTGCACCTATTTCCATATTCCCAGCTGTTCTTTCTTCTTGTCATCTGAATCCAATCCCCTCTTGACTTTTCAGCATCACCCCTGCATTTATCATAGTTCACTCCTGCAACTAGCTCTTCCTCTTTTCAAGCCTTACTTCCATCAGCATAAAAACAGGTCCCCTGTATTTCCCATTTAATACTCCCTTGACCCCATCTATCCCCTCTGGGTTCATGTCTATGCACATTTTTACAACAAACTTTGTGAAAGAGTTGTTGTCTCTTTGTATACCTCTATTACCTTAGCCCCCAGTCTTTCAAATTCACTCCAGTCAGAATTTCTCCTTCAACATTCTAGGGAAATTGCTTAAGTCTTCAAATTAGAGAAAATAGACATCTTACAATTAGAAGTACATGAAATGGTGAAGGAAAGGGGGATCATGTGAAACAACCTTGGTGATCAATGAGGAAACAGATCCCAATGCCATATCACTTTCCCAATCTAGACGGAGCGCTCAGAACTAGAGAGACCCAGCAAAGTCATCTGACACCTGGGAGTTCATGTTATATCAAAGGGCAGTAGAGAAAGCAAAAAAGGTGAAAGAGGACATTTCCTACATTTAAAGGTTGACTGGAGGAGTTAGATATGAAGAACCAAGAAGGTACAGTACCATGGAAACCAAGGAAACAAAAACAGAGGGAGTGGCAGAAACAGTACGGACCTGGAGGAATAAATGATGCCAAGGGCTCAGGGGGAGTGGTTAACATCTGTAGATGGTTTTCTTTGAGGAATAAAAGGACAGAAGAAGATAAAGAACATGCAAAACACGATCATAAACAAACAAAAATCATCAATACAGATGGCACAGTACTTACCCAATGGCTACTAAATCTTCATGATGAGGTGAACAAGTAAGACAGAAAATTGTTCTAGGTTCTATAAAGAGGTGCTGGCTGTCATTTCTGTTAAGCCAGTAACAAAAAACTACTCCTTTTTCATCCCCAGATACTATTAAGTCCTTTACTCGAGGAGACCAATGTAATGTTGATATTGTATGCTTTAAAACAAAACAAAAATTTGTTGTCAATGCTGAAGTTTTACTTAATTTTTAACTTGTATCACAAACCAGCATAATGCTACATACATACATTAAAAGTAGTTAATACTTAGTAGTAGTACTTGTTTAGCAACATAATATTAACAAAATGGTGGGAAGATTTAGACTACTGGGAATCAAACAATCATTAAAAATTTTTTAATAGCTTAATGCAAAGTTCTTACAAAGATTAAGTAAGCCTTTTCCTTTTCCTTTGTTCTCTCAAAAAGCAGGTATATCAAGTAACTATATAGCTTAGAAATTCATTCACGCATTTACAATCTATATCAGGAGTCCATTTATATCAATAACCAGAGGATAACTGTTTTAGACCTTGTGGGCCATACCATGCCTGTTGCAACTACTCAACGCTTATAGCATGAAAGCAGTCATAGACAATGCTTAAATGAATTAGTGTGGTTGTATTCTAATAAAACCTATTTACAAAAGCAGTTTGCCAACCTCCGGTTTGTATGCATCTCCTTTCAAAAAAAGTTAAGACATCTTACAATATGGTTTCTTATCTAATTAATGAACACAATTACAAGGTACTTTGCACAGATGAGCTAGCAAAACTAGCTTGCAACAGAAGAACCTTTAGCACAGATACATAAAAACGGTCTGAGAAACCAGTAAGCCATGGTACCTGATGGAGTGCATGTTCTGTCACAACTGTTTTTGTCTCTACATCCCATATTTTCACAGTTCCATCGTCGGAGCTGGTGGCACAGAGGTTGTACTGACCAGGGTGATGAGAAAATGTGAAGCCGGAGACCCTTTCGGTGTGTCCCACCAATTCTCCTATGACTTCAAGCAAAACCAGACACTAGGTTAATCCAAGTGCTATCCAAAGTTCCTGGCAGAATCATACTGTTGTTGGATGATGAGTGAGCAGATGCTTTGGCGTTACTTAACCCATGGTACAACTGAAAACCGAAGGACTTACAATCAGAATTCCCAAGTGCTGATATTGGCTGTGCTACGTGACTTCGAACAAGCCTCTGTGCCTCAGCTTCTCAACTGTGAAATGAATGTTGATATACTTTGCTCTGCTTAGTTCACAGACTGGAAAGCAGCTCAAATAATGTGAAAGTGATTTTTATTTAGATGTGACCAGAATAAATTACCTGGCACGTCATATCCTAAGGCACAATCAAAGCCTAGTTTGAAGCCTAAAAGCATCTGGTTTAACCCATTCATCTTACAGTAAAGAAGGCCACACGTTGCAGGATCTTGCTTAGGGCCTGCAGCTGTAGTCAAACCCCAACCCCAGGAAGGCTCCCGGAGGGCTGGCGCGCACCGGGCTGGGCGGGGGAGCCATATAAATGGCCGGGACTACATAAGGCTAACTGTTCAGTAAGCAATCGGTCCCACGTGGAAGCTCCAGGAGGCGGGACCGCTCGGCCACAGCATGGTGTAGCTCATGCTGGAGACCAGAAGTAACTCAGCTTAGTGACTGTGGGCTGCCTCTCCTCCCAGCCTGGGCCTCAGTTTCCCTAGCTGTAGAAAACGGGGTGGCTGGAGACGTCCACTCGGCGCCTCTTGGGAGCGCAGAAAGGGCAGGAAGTCTCGAGCCCAAGGGTGGTGAGTTACCTCGAAACGGGGGTGTCCCAGGACTCTCGCCTGCGCCCGGGCCCACGCGGACAAGGAAGACGGACGTCCGCGCGGCGAAGCCAAAGAGGCCCCCGGGCACGGCATCGCTGCAGCGGGCGCAGTACCAGTTGGGGGAGGGCGGCAGCGTCCGCGGCTCCTGCCCCATAACTACAAGCCGTCGCAGTCAAGAGAAGCAGCCACAACCGAACGCTCGTAGCCTCACGCCTTAGACAGGGAATGGGGCGGGGTGAATTCCGAGCCCCGCCTTCTCGGGCAGTCGCTACGGTGCGCGTGGAGGCCCAGCCAGCACCGCGCGTTCCGTTCCCGCTGCCGGCTGGCTGGGAAGGGCTGGACCGCGTGTGCTGCGTTGGCCCTCAGTACGTAGCCCGGGGGAGGAGGTCCGCCGCAACCCTGGCCAGGATCGGAAGTTGCCTGAGCACAGCCCCGAGGTTAAGCATTCTCACTTCGCACAGAAAGGCACAAAATTAGAGGATTAGACTAGTAGAACCAACGCTCCACGCTACCAGTTTATTCTTTAGATCCGTTCGACCACTATCCTGTCCAGTGTTTTTTGAACGCTATGTGCCAGGGTACTTTGCTAGTTGTGGAGGTGTTTTAAAGATATTCACAAGAGGCCGGGTGCGGTGGCTCACGCCTGTAATCGCAGCACTTTGGGAGGCCGAGGCGGGCGGATCACGAGGTCAGGAGTTAAAGACCGGCCTGGTCAACATAGTGAAATCCCGTCTCTACTAAAAATACAAAAAATAAAATAAAATAATAAAATAAGCTGGTGTGGCGGCAGGCGCCTGTAATCCCAGCTGCTCGGGAGGCTGAGGCAGGAGAATCGCTTGAACCCGGGAGGCGGAAGTTGCAGTGAGCGGAGATCGCGCCACTGCACTCCAGCCTGGGCGACATTGCGAGACTCCATCTCAAATAAAAACAACAAAAAGAAACAGAAAAGATATGCACAAGAAGCCACTTAACAAAAATATGGAGCCTGAGAGACAGACTGGTGTGAGCTGTGGTTGTGCCACTGCACTCAAGCCTGGGCAATAGAGTGAGACCCTGTCTCAAAAAAATAAAAATATGAAAGTACAAATCTGGAATTAAAAAGGGAAAGAACAGTTTCTGCAACTGGGAGGCAATTCTGGCTCTGGGTTCTGGGTACTCAAAGATGAAAGAGAAGCAAATGGAGTGACTCTTGATTTGCTTGATTAAGGGCCAGCTCTGTGAAGGAAGCTATATGTGGTAAATAGTGTGGAAGAAAGTTTCCTTTCAACTCAAAACTGCTAAAAATGCTCAGATTCTGCACTACTCGTGTGTTGCTTGTTTGCACTGGGTATCTGGCACTCCTGCATATGTAGCAAACTGAAATCTGAACTACCTGTCATTAATACAGAGAGTCAAATACATATATTTGGATGCGTCTAGGAGCACAAATTTGGAGGCACCTAGCTGTAGATTGATTACTGGTTTGCCAGTTGTTAGCTGAGAGACTTTAACCTATCCTAAATGTGTTTCCTCATTTGAAGAAGGAAAATGATAATCCATGCCTTGTTGGATTGCTGTGAGGAATAATTGAGATTTTAGTGAAATACCTGCCGGATAAACGGCAGTAAATGCCAGACGAATATAAACTCATTTCTTGAAGGTCAACCAGATAAGTAGGGATTAGGACAGCATACATCATATTTGAACTATTTGCTCTTTATTTATTTTTTTTTTTTGAGACGGAGTCTCGCTCTGTCACCTAGGCTGGAGTGCAGTGGCCGGATCTCGGCTCACTGCAAGCTCCACCTCCCGGGTTCACGCCATTCTCCTGCCTCAGCCTCCCGAGTGACTGGGACTACAGGCGCCCACCACCTCGCCCGGCTAGTTTTTTTTGTATTTTTTAGTAGAGACGGGGTTTCACCGTGTTAGCCAGGATGGTCTCGATCTCCTGACCTCGTGATCCGCCCGTCTCGGCCTCCCAAAGTGCTGGGATTACAGGCTTGAGCCACCGCGCCCGGCCTTATTTGCTCTTTAAAAGAGATTTTAGGCTAGGTTGGGTGGCTCACACCTCTAATTTCAGCACTTTGGGAGGCCGAGGAGGGCAGATCGCTTGAGCCCAGGAATTCAAGATCAGCCTGGGCAATTTGGCGAAACTCCGTCTCTATAAAAAATACAAAAACTAGCCGGGCGTGGAGACTTGACGTGAGCCTGTAGTTCCAGCTACTTGGGAGGCGGAGGTGGGAGGGTGGCTTGAGCCCGGGGTCGAGGCTGCAGTGAGCCTAGGTCGTTGCCACCGCATTCCAGCCTGAGCGAGAGAGAGACCCTGTTTCAATAAAATGAAATAAAATAGCTTTCACACGATTTCGACTTATCTTTACGACAAGCTTATGCCCTAGCGTTAGTCATTTCTGAAAAGAAAACTGAGGGCCACCAGATTAGGTCGCTTGTTCACGTATTCTGTTCCCCTACTCCTTTCGAGTTTGTGAGTGGGGCTTCGCAGTTTTTCTGAATCCAGGTGAATTTTCGGAAACCCACGCGCTTTCGGCCTTTATTTATTCATTCATTCCCAAGCCAGGCTCGCCTGACCACACCTCGAGCGCCGGCGCAGTGCTCGCGGTCTTCGTGACAGCACCGCAAGTGCAGGTACTGCTTGTGGGAGAGCTCCACAGGAAAGCCGGAGTATTGCGCATGCGTGCTGTCCAGAAGGCGCTTGAACTCTTGAGGCTTCCGTAGCGGGAGGGCGGAAGATGGCGGCGGCGGTCCTGGGACAGTTGGGTAAGGATTTCTTAGTGGTTAAGCGACAGAAGGGAGTCGAGATGGAATCTGAATTGACGGCTTGTGTTGATGTTGCAGGTGCGTTATGGATACAGAACCTGAGGAGCCAGGGGAAGCTCGCCTTGGGGTAAGTCTCTCGCTTCGGAGTTTCAGAAGGGCCCAAGGCATCTTGACTATTCTGCCAGTTGGTAACTGAGCGCCTGCGTGCCTAGCTGTGCTGTAGGCTCTGGGGCTACTGAGGCGAATGAGACAGCCCGTGCCGCTACTTTGTCACTCTATTTTTTCGCCACCTTATTGCATAAGCTTTGCAGATATCAGGATTACCCATAACCCAAAGGCCATTGTAAATGCGTTTTCTGAACGTCTACTGTGATCTTTCTGGACAAGGTTAGACTATTCCATCTCCATATGGAAGCGTTCAACTTTTCAAGTTACCTCTCTGGTTACTTGCTTACATGGGCAGGGATCGTGTTGTGGACAGCCCTGGTTTACGTCCTACCTGACATTGTGTTTAGCGGTTTATATGCCTTAATTCATTCTCGTAACATTCTCGTAACAGTTAAGGTTTATATGCCTTAACTACATTCTCGTAACATAGTAGGTACTGCTATACCCGTTTTTCAGACAAGGAAATTGAAGCCCCCAAACGTAACATAACTTGCCTAAGGCCACTCAGTTGTAGGAAATTTTGAAGCTTTATACCAGAGCATTCTGTAACCTTAGGACAAAAGCATTCATTAAAGGTTAGGGTAAGTAGTCGCTGTGTTTCTCCCCAAAAATTAATTTTTAAAAAATCGGTATTTGAAAATTGGTAATCTGATTGTAAATTTTCTGATCTGTCCATTTGTTATTGACTTTGGTTTAGTTCATAGGCTTTGCAGACGGATGAGTTGTATATGAATCTGCTTTTTACCTGTGAATTTGAAAAGTTACTTATTCTTAATAAGCTTCAGTTATCACTTTTATGATATGAGCATTATATTAGTACCTCTTAGGTTTTTAAAAATTTAAAGATTTTTATTTATTTATTTTTTTAGATGAGGTCTTGCTATGTTGCCCAGGCTGGTCTCAAACCTAAGGGCTGACACAATCCTCTTGCGTCAGCCTCCTGAGGTGCTGGAATTACAGGCACATGCCATGCATGTAGCTCTAATAGATTTTTAAAATGAAGTTCAAACAAGATAATGCATGTGAAGTATTTTGTATGTTTGTGGCACGTGATAATCCCACTCTGAATTCTAGTTGCCATTAATGTTTTTATTATTATAAATTACTACTGAGTTCCCAATTATATTTAACCTTTTTCTAAGTTCTTGGGTCCCAGGGGGATGAAGAGGTGGGCTAAAGAAGAAAATAGGAAGCACTAGCTCTTAGGATTTGTCTGTACTCTTCCTAGGTAATCTTCTATCACTCTTCCCCCAACCATGCTGATTTACTTACCTTTTTGGAATATACTGTGCACTTACTTGCTTCTTGGCTTTTCCTCCTATGCCCTTACATCTTGTCTATAACAGCAGTCCTACCCATTATTCAAACCTCTGTTTAGATGTTTTTTCTTCAGGAAGTTTTCTCTGGTATCTCTAAAACTGAAAGAAATTAATTTTTCCTTCCTTTTTTAGCATGTGTGCCTTCTATGATGGCTTCATGTATATGTGTCTGTGCCCTTTACTAGCTTGTGTATCTTGTGTATCTTGGAAAGGTAGGGACATTTATTTATTGTTGAGCTCCAGCATAAGGTCTTACACAAGGTAAATATTTTGATGTTGATTTGAATTGTCTTGCACCAACTTGTATTAAGAAACTCTCAGCAAGAAACTTAAGCAGTTTGCCTTTAGTCTTTTCCTCTATGTCATGATACAAGAGTGTTGGATTTTACTAGATAATCTCTAAGGCTATTTGCAATTCTGAAATTATTACTTAATTTTGTGAATCCTTACTTTGGATTTTCTAGTGGGGAAAATGACCATAAGAAAACTAAGTAGAAAGGTACAAATAATGTTCCTGATAACCATATAAAATCTTAGCATATAATCTGATTCAGTGATTAGAAATTTTTTTTTCCTTTTTTTTGGAGACAGGGTCTTGCTCTGTGCCCAGGCTGAATGAAGTGCAGTGCTGTGATCATAGCTCACTGCAGCCTCAAGCTCCTGGGCTCCCATCTCAGCTTCCTGAGTAGCTAGAACTGCAGGTGCATGCCACCACAGCTGGCTAACTTTTTAGGGTCTTGCTGTAGCTCAGGCTTGATCTCTAACTCCTGGGCTCAAGTGATCCTCCTGCCTTGGCCTCCCAAAGGTAGGGATTACAGGCATGAGGCGCCTGGCCAGTGATTGGAAACTTAATTGCATATAGGCCCCAGACTAGAAATAAAAAAAATAAGGAAAGTTGTCTATGTAAAATGAGAGAGTAGGAGGGCCTGTGGCAGTGAGTAGAGTGTATTCCTTATCTAAAAACATTGAATTAGGTTAAGAAAAGTGCTGCTGACC